GAGCCGCTTGGAGTTGAGTAGCTCCTGCTTTATCTCTTTGAGCCGCGCCTCTCGGATGGCGCGTTTGGTGACGGCGCGCATGGCGTCCTGGGCCCGGTAGCGGAACCCCTCGATCTCCTCCATGCGGAACTGGTACGGCTTGAACAGGTGCGCCTCGCCCGGGAACATTGTGTGCAGCTTCTCCGTCACCTCGTCCAGCATCGGCTGCTCCTTGATGCTGACGAAGGACAGCGCAGAACCCTTGCTGTTACCGCGTGCCGTCCGACCGACGCGGTGAATGTAAGAGTCAACGTCCTGCGGGAAGTCAAAGTTGATGACATTCGAGACAAACTGGAAGTCGATGCCCCGCACCACTCCAGACTCCTTGTCCTGCTTGCGTTTTTTCTTGCTCGGCTCGCCAGCCTCGCCGCCCTTCTTGGTTCTCTTCTTCTGTTTGGTGTCTTCCTGCTCCTCGGCCGGCGGCTCCGGCTCGTCCAGGAACCTCTCGTCGGACGCGATGATGATGTCGTACGCGCCGTCGTTGAACTGCGACAGGATGTGGCTCCGCGAATTCGCCGGCAGCTCCGAACTCAGGGCGCACGTCGGGATGCCAAACTGCTCCAGATACAGCTTCAGCTTATAGCAGCGATCCACGGTGGCCACGAAGATGATCGTCTTTCCACGTACCAGTTTCAGTTTGAACAGGGTATAGATGAGCACAAACTTGTCCTTTTCCTCGACCTTGAGGTGGTACTGCGACAGCTGGTTGGAGGCGGGCAGCTGCGGCTCCTCCAGTTTGAGCACCACTGGGTTGTGCAGCAGCAGCTGGCGCAGCTCGCGCACCTCCTCCGACAGGGTGGCGCTCATCAGGATGGCCTGGCAGACGGCGGGCAGGTGGCGCGCCACCTGCTGCAGGTCGCCGCTGTGGCCGAACGTCAGCATCAGGTCCGCCTCGTCCACCACCAGGGTGCGCAGCGAGCGCGACACGTCCAGGCTGCCCGACTGCAGGTGCGCCAGCACGCGCGACGGCGTGCCCACCACCACGTCCGGCCGGTGCTGCAGGATCGCCTTCTGCGCCGCCAGGTCCGCCTGAGTGCCGATGTTGGCGCAGCGCACCTCGCGCGAGCACGAGCTGGTCAGCGCCTCAAAGTGAGAGCAGAGCTGCTGGCAGAGCTCCCGGGTGGGCGCCAGCACCAGAGCCTGCACCTCCTGGTGCGCGCACGACTTCTTGTTCTGCAGGATCATCTGAATCACGGGGATGGCAAAGGCGGCTGACTTGCCGGAGCCGGTCCGCGCCCGCGCCAGGATGTCCTTGCCCTCCAGGGCCAGGGGGATGGCTTTCTCCTGGATGAGGGTCGGTGTGTGCCATTTCTGGCGAGATATGGCCAGCAGAAGCCGGTCATCGAGCCCCATTTCGTGAAACTGAACAACTGGAGGATCTTCCTCCTCCATGGCTGTGATTCTTGTTATGATGTTATCCAGATGTTGTGCAGCGCAGAGGTAACTGTAAATATGAGATAAAACAACTGATTTAATACCTAAAGCAGATTCACAAATATCAATCTGCTGCTGGAAATCACACATCGTTGTTTTACATTATGCTGCTAGTTATTTGGATGTTGGAAATGTAAGTCCACCCACACCAAGCCTAGACAGTCCTGCTCATAATTCGCCCATATTGAATTAAATGGGCAAAAGACATGTAAACACATTGTTTCCTCTCGCCTTTGAATGAAGAAAATATTCGTTTTTTACATCACTTATCTGAACGTGCACTGAACTTGAGCTGAAAAAGGCTCAACTGAGCCTGGGCTTAGTTTAGGACAACTTTATCTTACATCAGAGGTTTAACAAATAGGTACCAACATGCTGCCAGGTTGACAAACATGCTGCAGAAAGGGGCAAATCAGAGGGGTAGGTAGGTAACTTGTTGATGAATTGTTCACTTCTTGAATTGCACTGCTAAAGATTGGAGCTGAAAGCTGGTCATTTATACCCTCCAAAACCCCCTAAATATTGACCAAAGCAACCAAATTTGCACAGGGGCGAGAACTCCAGGGGGCCCACCTAACTACCAAATTTGGTGTTTCTGTGCCATAGGAGCCAATCGCGAGGGGGGGTTGCATCAACCCCCCCCCCCTGCCAGGCCGTGTTATCAAAAATGCGCTTGCGCTGCCAGGGCGAGGGTTAACACGCGCAGTGGAAGATGGGGGGGGGAGGGGGCGGATTTCGCCCACCCCTCCTGTTTTTCGCCAATAACTCGCGCCGCAAACATAAAATTAAGGTGAAATTTTGGCTACCTGTCCAGAATTGAACTGCGGATCTTCTCGTGCAAGAAATAAGAAAATCGGGTCACAGCTTTTCTAGTAATAGCGGTGTGAAGTCAAACATCCTGCCGTCGCGGCTCCGCGGCGGCCGGCGCTAGACGTTACGCGCCGCCTGAATTGTAGACTGTGCCGGGGCGGGACGGTTCCGTCTTTACATGGCGCTCCTTACCACTGATTATATTCGATTCGCGTCAAATTTCGTGAGAAGACTAAGAAATGTACAGGCAATCTTATGGTCAAAGAATTTTGAAAATCGGCCGGTAACACCTTGAGTTATGAGTGTGTTAACACAAAATTGTGATTGCCGCGTTTCCCGCGTCGGCCGATCCCGCTTCAGCCGGCGACGTCTTACCCTCAGCAGGCTTTTATCTGCCATATTTATTGTTGGATTAACAAGAAATTCACCATACATACTCACAAATGTACATTCTTTCTTATAGTGAAAAAAAGAAAATCGGCCGGTAACTTTTTGAGTTATCGGCGTGTAAACCTCGGTCGTGGGGATTACCGCTGTGCCAGCCAGCGCCCCCGGCCGCAGGTACACGGGCCTGATCCGCCTTTAAACAGATCCTTCGGTCCGGTGACATGTCCCGAGGGCACGGCCTCGCTTCATGTCCCGGAGCAGCCCTCTGACCTGCCGGGCCCGAGAAATCGGGATAGCCCCAGCGTGCGCACCAGTGCGGTGCCACCTGGGGTGCGTGACAGGAAGCGTGCGGTCAAGGCTGTCCCGCGTAGCGGGTGCCGAAAACGATTCGTACCACTGCCGTGTATATAGTGTACTAACCCAGTATGAATGTGTGCTACTAACGACAAAAGCCCGGGTCGGGCAACAAAAATATTTAAAAAAAAAAAAAAAAAAATATCGGCGTGTAAACGCAAAAAGTCGCTCATATGGCAGATTTGACCACATTTGACCTCATTTGACCTTGAAGATATTGACCTAGGGTCATGAAATTCACACACAACAGAGTTCTCCTGGGCCTTCACCTACCCTCCAAATTTCGTCTTTCTAGCTCCAGTGGGAGCTGAGATCTCAAGGGGGGGGGGGCGACATCCGCCCCCCTTCCACTGGGCGTAGTACTCGCAACCCTTCCACTGCGCGTGTTAAATGCTTTATCTAGCTTCTATATGATTAAAGCTTCAAAATGATTAATAAATTTGCACACTGAAAATGGATGCATTTCATCTGATGCTCCAATGACACAAAATTTCCGGAACATATACCAGAGACTCTGCATAGGAGCTATATTGCCTATTTTGGGCAGATTTGATGCTAGATGAGCCCAGGACTGATGCATACAATTTGGTGGAGTCCTAAGCACTGGTTGTCTCTTTTTATCAGCATACTTTTTTTAGCATACTGTGAGTGGTGGATGGAGCCTGACAAGGTGAGTTGATACCTCTACCAGCTGGCTTTTAATAACTTCTTGATTAAAGTCATGTGGTAACTGGTAATGCTGGGCAAATCCAGAATATCTGTTTGAGATGCTGTGAGTACGAATAGGTAGGTACTCTACTCTTCCCCCCAAAAAAACAACAACAAAACTTCATTAAACTCTTCACTTGAAAGTTGTGCAATTTGAAACAGCTTCCCATAATGAAAATTACCTAATTGTTTGTCTATACCAGAAAAAACGGCCAAATCTTGTTACTCTCGAGTCTCGGGCACTGTGGAAGGGGAAAACAGCCCAAATTTAAGTGCTATATGGGTCTGGACTTCTGGAGTGTGTCATCATTTCATAGCCAATAATTGTAAAGTGTCAGCTTCCATATTGACAAACAGATGTGGTGGCAGCATGCTAATAACATCAACACCAAACACCAATCTCAACCTATCACTGAAGATATCAGTAAATCTCCCATCATATGCCATGATGGTGCAAGACAAAAGTAGGCAGAGGCCAGCTTTACCAACGGAAAAATAGCTTGACCTGCCAGCCGGATTTTTTGCCTTGAGACTGCTTCACATACGGAGCGTAAATGTGATGGGCATTGTAAGTGGATGGGGTTTTACCATTTCGGTTTATGCTCTATGTGTTTAGCCGTCAGTATTTGGCAAGATAAGGTCAGATCTACAATTATGGCGCTGTTCATACAAATACGCAACAGCAAAAATTTAAGGTTGTAGGCTACGTTAGGTTGTAGGTTTGTAGGTTGGAGGTTGGTTGATTTTTAGGTTGTTAAGTTGCAGGCAACTGGTAAGTTGTTATGGTTAGGTCAGGTTTGATTGTTTTTTCCTTGTATTTGCGAGACATTTAAGTCTCAATTGGGAGTCCAAACTGAAAGCAAAAAAATCCAGCAGATAGCTATTTTTCTGTTGGCAAAACTGGCCTCAGGACAAGTGTAAATCAATGCAATGTCATCAATCTAAGCATCTTCCGGTACCTCAAACTGGTCTAAATCATTTGAAAATAATTGACACTTCACCTTGCACTACCAGACTAGGTACATTACCTCGCAATAAAATTGTTTACGGCACGCGTAGCGACCACGTCACGTACAAGAAAGTTACGTCTCAGAAATACAATAAATGCTCCTAATGCCCGCAATAACAATAAAAGCGACAGCGCAAGGGGAGAAACGACATGTGTACCCGGCGCGCATGTTTTTTAATCCCACCCAGAAATGACAAACAAGCCCCCTGATTGGCCAGTTGCCGGCCAGTTGGACTTGAGCGGTCGCCATGGTGGTATCGGGGACTCGGCCGGCATCGTCGTTAGGTGTTGAATTATGTGTTTTGTTGTGCTAGATATTGCCAATTTGCTTTGATATTTGATAAATAACGTTGGCTCATTCTTTGGTGACCTTGCATACTAATACGACGATATTTTGATACCGATTATTAATTATGCATCAAACATCATGAGACAAATGTGGCGATTTCCACACCCTTTTGCAGTGCCCCCTCCCCAGGCTTGTAAGAACCAAGTGAACCATTTTTTAGTCAAGTGGTCATGATCGTCCCTACATTGACATCTAATGGATAATAGTCTTGCGCAAACTTATAAAGTACTGGAGGAAGCAGAAGTTACGATTTTGGAGTACCTACGCAAACTTGATATTAAAAAATCTCAGGTATTTTGGCTATATAAAGTGAGAAGAAAAGTTAAATTGATCATTTTTTATTACAATTGCAATAATGATAATATCGTGATAATTGTACTGTCAGGTATTGATAATAGTCATGTCACGTCATGCCACTAACCAGGCACACAGACACAACACATTTTCATCTTTATATATCTAGGCATAAGGTATTACAGGCATGTTGTTGCACACCTCTCATGTGCGAGTGGGCATGGCCTCCTTCACAGTTAAGTTTTGGCTGATTGTGCTCAAATTTTGTAAGTACCCACATGTAAAGGGATGTAGATACAGTTAGTCGGGCACTCTTCTTAATTCAGTTTTGTGCACCACTTCCTGCTTTCACCATGCTGTGCCCACTCTGCTTTACAGTGGACAGCTGCTTCTGTGACACGCATTAATCTTGCGTTCATTGAAACACTTAGTTTTGAGTGTTTTGACTCAGTTTTGTTGTAACGTTACCTGTGTTTATATTTTCAATAACTTGTTTTGGGCTTCTCATATTTATCTTTTTTTTGGCTTAGCAGGTTTAGTATAAAACAAGTTTTAGCTGACATTTTACATGTTAAGATTACATGAGTGCATACATTTTATAAAAGCTATTTCAAAGTACTGTAGCCATGTGTAACATGCATATGTCTTAGTGAATGACTACTCAGCATGCTGCTTGGTGCTCAATGGTAATAGTTTGATTTGTTTTTGACATCAAGTAAGATTTGATTTTTGTTTCTGAGATTCCAATGTTATTTGTGGCAAATATTTTCCAAAAATCATCCATCTAAAGCTTCAACTGAAACATTACCTACCAGAAACATTATCATTGATACCTCCTACAATATTTCATTTTGTCACCAGGTACCTGGACTGGTGAAAAGTGAAAACTGAAATTCATTCATGTCACCATTATCCTACGACCGGAATGGAATGGAAAAATGGAATTGATCTTGTTTCACAAATGAGTTGTACATTGCACAATGTCTATCAGCTGATGTCTATTGTCTATCTCTCTTTCAGCACAGAAGATCCTCAGTCATAGTTAACAAAATGGAAAAAAAATTAGCTGTGTTTTTAAGATTCCAGTGGTGGCCATCAATTGCTCAGGAAAGCAGCCCAGAATCACTTCACAACAGGTATGTTGATGCATGTACATTGTACATTGACATCAATGTCTGAATGCTGAAGAATTGTTGAACAGGGAACACATTTACCTAGCCTCTAAAAACCACAAATCCTACATTACTTACATAAACATTTTTATATAGAACTTATATTATCTACTTTCATCTGGCTAAGGCTTTTTTACATTATATTCCCTCTGTTAAACATGAAAATATGATGAGTTATAGACTAGTATAACAAGCTGGTAATTATATCTGCCTTGTCAGCTGGGCCAACATCTGCATCATGTCTATCACGAAATATGACTGCTTTCCTGACATTTGCATTTGTTCCACTCACCAATTGACCACGTCTACCATCTGCTTGCTCTATGCACAGACATTGTCATAGGGTCTGTTCCAGTCGCACTTCCTAACACCTCTTAACTCCTCCAAGATTGCTTCCCTGTTCCAGTGGCAGCTTTCGCCCCTACAAAGCCAAGAAGGGCCCTGCTCCAACGTCCTCTATCTTGCTCTTTGAGGAGTTTAGATGTGTTAGGAAGTGCGACTGGAACAGACCCATAGCAAAACAGTTTCATCTCCCTGAGTCTGTACTGTCTTTTTCCAGGTTTCCAAAGGATCATCAATCATCATTCATCAGCACAGAAGGGTGGGAAAGAGAAGGCTGTTCAAATTCTGAAAAGCCAGAGCTGCAAAGGAGGTCAAAGATGCAGTGCAGTTGGCCCACTCAGTAGAGTGTCACTAGTGGTTCTGATGTGGACTGAAGATTACACGCTGGATTGAAGTGGCCGGTCTGGAGCAGCTGTAGTTCATCATTCCTGCTGATTGTGGACGAGTAAGAGCCCGCGTTGGCCCCGATCGGCGATCGCTGGCCAAAGCCCACCACCAGTTTGGTGATAGGCGTTGGCTGTGATATCTAGTGTCGCCTATGTGTGAAAAGGACAAGTTGATAACAAAACCTGTTGCGCCATGTTATTAACCCGCGCCCGGGTGGCCCTCAGTCAACTTGGTGGGGGGGGGGGGGGGTCAGGTGTATTCGGCCACACCAGGTTATCTTGGAATGTAGCAAAGCTGGAAAGACGCAGTAAAATCAATCTATAGATCGCTATTTTTCTTCAGAATCATACAGGTCATTTTTGATCAGGTCATCGCTGAGGTCACTGGAGGTCACCAAAAGTAAAATGATGACGAATTTTGGCCCCCGATTTTGACAACTTCACAAATTGGTTCATAATTCGGGAACCAAAGAAGCTACAGCGCTGCGGAAAAGCGAATTCGATAGCTCTTTCGAAAATCTTTCAGGTTCTCAGATTTGAGCTAAGGTCAACTGGGGTTAAGCCTCCAAAGGGCAAAAACTGAACAATCGGCTTGCTTCGGAAGTCGTCTTTTCTTTAAAAATTTTTAAACTGATACCAACCTTTTATTACGTTGATTTTACCGGCACTGCGCTTCTCTCGTCTTCTTGGCCTAACAAGGTCAGCTTAATAAATTTGACCTCAGGTCAATGTCGCAGAAAATGCCATTTTGCATGTCATTGATTCGTTACATTGAAATTGAGATTAACATCAGTAGCGGCGGAACACCTTCAATTAAGGGGGCATTGCCGACTTTTGGTCTCATTCTTTCCATGCAACGCCCATAGGGCTAATGTTAAAATGCCAAAATCAAAGGGGGCACGGTGCCCCGGTGCCCTCGGCCTGTTCCGCCGCCTATGATTATGATGCTTTTAGCGCTCTGGCCACGTTCCATCTAAAATCGATGTACAAAAATAAACTGTTGGGAGGCGTTACATGACCTGAGATGACCTCAGGAGCATACGATAGATCCCTGAGTGCTTTTGTTTCAAAAGCAGAACATTTCGAGTTCCTCATACTGACTGAAACTGGAGACGTCGCAAAGTTGACCTGACCCTAGGTCACCACCGATATCAAAATTAAAGATATTCAAGATGTTGGTACTGATTCTCTCATGCAATAGCTCGAGTTTCAAACTTCTACTTCATGGTGACGGGTGACCTGACCTGACCTTAGGTGACATGGGGTTACTTTTTTCACAATTGATGCGAATCGATGCATTATACATAAGCTATACTAAGTTTCGTGTCGTTTTATCTATGCAAGCACAAAATTGTCAGGTGTGGCCAAAAACGCCCCCACGGCCCACCCACCTGGGGAACGTTAAAGCAGTGATGTATTTTTTCGGTGTATTCCACGATGCATCGATCGGTGTACTTGAAAATGCATTATTTATTGCTGCGTGTGTACGCTTTTCCTCTGTTCAGTGTGATCTGTGATAGGAAAACTACCGATATATCTCCACAGTCCACGCGCATGACTGAAAGAGATCTATGACGTGATCTATAATATTGGGTGTCTGTTTTTGTTTGGCATTTTATAAATACTGAGTCAGCTGTGATCGTTTGATGAGACACTGGGACAGCCGGCCTGTATGATCAGCGAACGGCAGGCGGTGGGGCAGTGGTCCGGTGGCTGCTGCATGGGACTGACACCAGCAGATTCAGAGCTGCGATACGCGGACGTTATGTTCACAATACCTTTGCAAAATAATATCTGATAGATATCATGTCCTCGAAAATGCTCTTCAATCAATATGATTTTACCTCCTGGCTTATTCCATGGGGGCCAAAACCGATCGTTTTATGCACGCCTTTTCTGGGCCTCGTTCTCCTCTAAATGCGTGTAGGTAGCAATTTTATTCAAGGGACGATTGAAAGTGCCTCCGATTGGTTTTCAGCGTAGGTGGGATATGGCCGTTGAATGTGAGGCAGTCGATAAGGAACGTCGAGCTGGAACGGTCATTGGGTAGGTACTAGGTAAGGTATGCGAAAGGCAGCAGTGGAAAACAAGGAAGGGAGGCGTTTGGTGTGAGGTTTCAAATGCTCTATGCATAAGAAAAGTTCATTTGATTATATGACACCGTCCTTTTTATCGCGATACGTGAGCAGCGCATGAGACGCTCACTGTTCAGACTTGTAGCGTTAGAGACAGGCTGAGAAGGGCTATTTCCGCGAAAGGATATTCTGGAATTTGAATTGAAAGGCATTTAGTTTTGAAAGCATCAGTACTTCTTAACACGATACTGACTCATTTAAAATTTCAATTTTTCCCTATTGCGATAACATAAGAAACAGATACTGCGGTGTCCCCATACGCAGGATTCTGGAGACTGTCAGGCGGATGTTAGTAACTAAAAGCTTTTGTTCTTTATTTAACATATAACAATCATTTCTTTTAATACTTTGTAACACCTAACTCACTAGAAACAATCTGTACGAGCTTCCAAAAATGTTATATTTAACATGTTAGATCGATTACAATATTTTAGCTGCCCTAACCTGTAAATGTAACGGATGCGTCATTATTGAAAACGTGCTAAAGCATAGTATTCTATTGCTGACAAATATTCTGCGTCTGTCAGCCAAAACTGGCCAATCAGAGGCTTTGTTTGTCATTTCTGGGTGGGATTAATAAACATGCACCCGGCGCACACGCGTAGTAGGGCGCAGCCATCTTTAAATTTAGACAAACTAATATTTTTCCAATAAGCTTCGTTATTGTAGTAAATTGCTATGTTTTAAATCTAAAAAATAAACTATATTCTTTTGCATTCATAAATAAAAAATGAATCAGTTTTAATCTAGGCATTAGGTAATTAAATAACTCTTGAATCAATTTGGCTCCAAGAAATCTAAACTGCGCCACATTTGGCGACGGTTGTATTGTTTACGGCCAAAGAGTTGTGTTTGCTGGATATTGAAAGGTGAAAAGTGCGATTTTTTGCTTCATTGAGCATAATCGAGAGGGTTTCATGATAATATAATAATCCAGTGTATTGAAGCACTACTCAAGCCGTTATTATGTGAAGGTTAAGTGCTAACGTGGTGCTAACCTAATCGCCTTCATGCCCTAACAAGGAACATACCTAGTTTACGTCGATTCCTGAAAGGATCTTTCTTCTAAATCTGTTAAACCTAGAAGTGCATCGCAATGCCTTCCAAGCTGAAGTACATTGAAGTGGAAAATTTCAAGTCGTACAAGGGTTTCAAGCAGATTGGTCCTTTGCTACCATTTACAGCCATCATTGGTCCCAATGGCTCAGGGAAGTCAAACTACATGGACGCCATCAGCTTTGTCATGGGGGAGAAAACAGGTCTCCTTCGTGTGAAGAGGCTCAGTGATCTCATTCATGGAGCCTCCATTGGACAGCCTGTATCAAGAACTGCTGGAGTGACTGCAGTTTTTGAGCTGGAAGATGGAACTGAGCGCAGGTTTGCCAGATACGTACAAGGCTCGTCATCTGATCATCGCATAGACAACAATGTTGTCAGCGTTGCTCAGTACATGAGTGAGTTGGAGAAGCTTGGAGTGAATGTGAAAGCCAAGAACTTCTTGGTTTTCCAAGGAGCTGTGGAATCCATAGCCATGAAAAATCCCAAAGAAAGAACTGCCCTGTTTGAAGAGATCAGTGGCTCAGGAGCAATGAAGGAAGAGTATGACAGACTGAAAGCAGAGATGGTGAAAGCTGAAGAAGACACTCAGCACACCTACCAGAAGAAGAAGGGCATAGCAGCTGAGAGGAAGGAGGCAAAAATGGAGAAGGATGAGGCAGAGAAGTATCAGAGATTCAAAGAGGAGCTGAATGACAAGCAGGCTGAGCTGCAGCTGTTCAGACTGTACCACAATGAAAGGGAGATAGAAGCAGCAGAGCTAGAAATAGCCAAAAAGAGGGCTGAGATTGCCAAGATTGAAAAGAAGAAGGAAAAGGCTGAAGATCACCTAAAAGAAAAGAAGAAAGAACATGGAAAGCTTCAAAGAGACACAGCTAAACTTGACCAGGAGGTGAAAGAGAAAGAGGTGGAGATCAACAAAAGAAGGCCCACATTCATCAAGGCCAAAGAACGAGTGACTCACATGCAGAAAAAGGTGGATGCAGCCACCAAGTCTTTGAATCAGGCCCGCAAAGCTCATGAGGCACACATGCAAGATATTCATGAGCTTGAGGAAGAAATGAGAGCGATTGACAAAAAACGAGCTGAGTATGAAGAAACTGTGTCAGGTGATTCTCAGAGCCAAGGGAAGTCTGTAAGCCTTGAGGAAGCTCAAGTTGCGGAGTATCATAGGCTGAAGGAGGATGCTGCAAAACGATCTGCAAGATATCTGCAGGATCTGGACTCTGTGAATCGGGAACAAAAGTCAGATCAAGATCGTCTCGACAATGAACTGAGAAAAAAGCAAGAGGTGGAAAATCGTCTGAAAACAAAAGGCCATGAACTGGAAGATGCCCAAAAGCGAATTGAGAAACTTGAGGAACACATCCGCTCCTCAGAAGCGTCTTTGGAGGAGCAGCGCCGTCTGCGGGAAGAACTGCAGTCTGAAGTTGGAACCAGCAAAGACCAGATCACTGACCTGCAGAGCAAACTTGAGTCGGTCACAGAACAACTGGGAGACGCCAGAGTGGACAAACATGAAGAGGCAAGACGGAAGAAAAAGCAGGAGATTGTGGAGAACTTCAAGCGACTGTTTCCTGGTGTATTTGATCGCATGATCAACATGTGCCAGCCCATCCACAAGAGGTACAATGTGGGCATTACCAAAGTTCTTGGCAAGTACATGGAGGCCATCGTTGTGGACACAGAGAAAACAGCACGACAATGCATCCAGTACCTGAAGGAGCAAATGCTGGATCCAGAAACGTTCCTACCACTGGACTACATCCAAGCCAAACCGCTGAAGGAACGTTTGCGCAACATCAGTGACCCAAAGAACGTGAAGCTGGTGTACGACGTGCTTCAGTACAATCCCCCTGACATCAAACGTGCCGTGGTGTTTGTCACAAACAACGCGCTGATCTCGGAAACTCCCGAAGATGCCATGAAGGTCGCTTACGAGATGGAGGACGGCCAGAGGTATGACGCCGTGGCTCTGGACGGCACGTTCTACCAAAAGTCTGGCATCATCTCTGGAGGCAGTCTGGACTTGGCTCGTAAAGCCAAACGTTGGGATGAGAAGCACATGAGCAATCTGAAGAACGAGAAAGAGCGCCTGCAAGAAGCACTGCGGGATGCGATGAAAAAATCTCGCAAAGAGTCTGAGCTGAACACCGTTGAGTCCCAGATCCGTGGTCTGGAGACTCGTCTGAGGTACGCTCGCACTGACAAAGAGAACACTGAAGGCAAGCAGATTCGGCAGCTCCAGCATGAACTGGAACAGCTGCGGAATCAACTGGAGACGTTTGCACCTCGCATCCACGAGATCGAGCGAACGATGCGAAAGAGAGACGTGGACATTCAGGAGATCAAGGAGAACATGAACTCGGTCGAGGATGTGGTGTTCTCCGGCTTCTGTCAGGCGATCGGTGTGCAGAATATTCGCCAGTACGAAGAGCGGGAGCTGCGTTCACAGACCGAGAAAGCCAAGCGACGGCTGGAGTTCGAGGATCAGAAGAACAGAATCACCAACCAGCTCGAGTTTGAACGCTCTCGCGACACGGAGAACAACGTGCGGCGCTGGGAGAAGTCCGTCGCCGACGACGAGGAAGAGTTGGAGCGCTGCAAGTTGGCCGAACAGAAACAAATGGCTGCCATCGACAAAGACATGCGTGAGCTAGACAAGCTGAAATCTGAGAAACTCGGCATGAGGCAAGAGGCTGAAGAGAAAGAGGAAGAAATCAACAAGGCTCGACGCGAAGTGGGCACGATCGCCAAAGAGATGCAGGGAGTTCAAAAGCAGATAAACGCTCTGGATGCCAAGGCTGAGCAGAAACGCAGTGAGAGACATTCCATCTTGAAACAATGTAAGATGGAGAACATCATCATCCCGACGTCAAGAGGCTCGTTGGATGACCTGGAAGGTCCCGACGAAGGAGACTCGGAAGCGCCTGGAGGAGGACCTTCTCAGGCCACGACATCAATCACCGAGCGAGCTGCAAGGATTGTGGTGGACTACTCGAGGCTAGACGAATCCTTCTTCGACCTTGATGACGACGAAGTTCGAAAGGCTGAAAACAAGCTGGGCAAGCAGATCAACGAGCTGAGCTCGATGCTGCAGAAGATCCAAATGCCCAACATGCGCGCCATGCAGAAACTGGACATGGCCAGGGAGAAGCTGCAGGAGACGAACGAAGAGTTCGACTCTGCTAGACGCCGTGCCAAAAAGTCCAAGCAGGCGTTTGAGCGGGTCAAGAAGGAGCGGCACGACCGGTTCATGAGCTGCTTCGAGCACGTGGCTAACGAGATCGACGGCATCTACAAGGCGCTGGCGCAGAACCAGTCTGCGCAGGCGTTCCTCGGCCCGGAGAATCCCGAGGAGCCCTACCTGGACGGCATCAACTACAACTGCGTGGCGCCCGGGAAGCGGTTCCAGCCCATGTCGAACCTCTCGGGAGGAGAGAAGACGGTGGCGGCGCTGGCGCTGCTGTTCGCCATCCACAGCTTCCAGCCGGCGCCGTTCTTCGTGCTCGACGAGATCGACGCGGCGCTGGACAACACCAACATCGGCAAGGTGGCCGGCTACATCCGCAGCCAGACTGCCACCAGGCTCCAGGTCAGTCGCAGCGCGCTGCTACACCGATTGACAAAAAGCTCAATAGTTTCAGTAGCTGGCATACTGTTAACCGTTTTCTAATGTTCGGGTGGACTTACAAGTTAAAATTTGGTTTGATTTTGTGCTAAGGGCGATACTAATTTACCTGTAGTTTTGAACCGTAGGATGGTGTGACAATGCTCTATCTTGCCCTTTGTTAGTTGTTTTGATCCTGCAACCATTCCACAATTTGATCTTGATTAATAGATGATTCTTATTTTAAGCTATTGATAACAGCGTTGATACAGGCTATCACTGGTTGTGCTCTCTCAGATACCTTGTACTATTGGAGTAACTGCATGTGTAAATTAAACACTTTAGGCTCTTACAAATTTCCATTGCTTCACCGGGCCGTTGTGTGATGGCCCCGCACTGTTTCTGCAGGTTCTGGTGATCTCGCTGAAGGAGGAGTTTTACAGCCACGCGGACGCGCTGATCGGTATCTGTCCCGACGACGGCGAGTGTCTGGAGAGTCGCGTGCTGACGCTGCGCCTCACCGACTACGCCGACCACCTGGAGTCGGAGCCGGCGCCGGGCGCGCCGCGCCGCTGAGGGACGCTGAGCTGCGCCGCTGAGGGACGCTGAGCTGCGCCGCCGCCGGCCGCACTACGCCGACCACCTGGAGTCGGAGCCGGCGCCGGGCGCGCCGCGCCGCTGAGGGGCTCGCTGCTGCGCCGCACAGGGACGCCGCCGACCACCTGGAGTCGGAGCCGGCGCCGGGCGCGCCGCGCCGCTGAGGGACTCGCTGCGCCGCCGCCGCCGCCGGCCGCCGCCTGGTGTGCGCCCCCGCCCGGACAGCCGAGCGGTCTCTGCCCGGTGGATGGCCGACGAGTCGCCGTCGTGCGCGCAGTGCCGGTGAGGTGACGCTGACGCAGTACAGACTGCCACCAGCCCGGGGCGCGGCCTCCCGACTGCGAGACACTACCGGGCCGGCTACACACCGCACCCGGGGTCTGTACGTGCCGGGATGGGTGCCGCGGCGCGCTGCGGAGGCGGCACCGACCGTTTTTAGTTTTTAGAGCAGTGTTCACGTTCATGAGTGTTTCGAGTACGGAAGTGGGGAGCTCGCGATCATAACCTTGTTTTGTTGGGTGCAGATGTCCACGTTTTAACGGTCTGTCATTCGCATTGGCACTTAGCGAGTATGGTACAATTCATTTCGGCGTTAGGCCCGCTATAGCAATTTCTCAGTGGTAGAAATGATTGTATATGGCGTATATTGCTACAGTTCGTCATTCGTAAGTTTCACCGGGCTAATTGTCTTTTTGTAAATACATTCAAAAATATTACTTATAAGTTTGTGTATCTACTGAGCACGATTCCAATTGCGACTCAGCCTACGCCCTACGCCTTTTCTGAAGGAGTAACTTGGAAGGCACTCTCGATCATGTCTGGCCGCTTTGAACACTTTTCTTAGGTTTGCTGACGGTTGCGACCTCTTCATATGAAAAATTATGCCACGTGAAGCAAAGTAGTGCCTTTGCATGCTTTTCCACGAGTCAGATGCTAGATCCATCAACTAGTACTTTATCTGCAAGCATAACCCTTTTCGACTGAACTGGATTCCGAGTTTGGTAACGTTGAATCATAACGAGCCACGTGAAATACACAGCAACCATTCAATGCTACCTTGGCGCTGCCTTGCTGCTACCACCTACAGCCCTGCCACCTACTACACTCCACTGAGCGCCTGACGGTAGAGGCGGCACCGCCCGCCCCTCAGAGGTCGCCTCCGTGACGCTCGGGCCCGTACGGTCGCCTGCCATCGGGTGGGGTGCTCGGCGCTCGCACGGCGCAGAGAGGGCTAGAGTGTTATACCGAGTGTCATTTGATGCGTTATTGCACGAATTCACCCGACATGTCGCTGCAAGACAGTATTGGAGCGCTTCCCGAATTCTTACTAGGTAAAACGAAGTACTCAGTACCGGGCAGACGGTTCCAACTGACTGCACACTTCCCCTTTACCCGTGTTCACCGCTACTGTCCTGTGCATTTTCGTGCAGTGAATACTGAATAGTGCTGGAGATACGACAAAAAAAAAGTGCTCGCATTTTTATTTTTAACTTTCACTGAGTTCAAACAAAAATATTATGACTTTTCCATCAAACACTTACCTTTGTTTTTAAAACTTTCTTATCGAAGCTTGCATTGTTTGAGATGCAGAACGGAAACCTCATGTCTATTATATTCCCTCAAAGGTCGCATCGGACTTTATTCATGCGAATCTGTGGAGCCTGTCGCATGGCATCATAATGTGCGTGTCCGTTTCTTTCCACTCACACAGTGGCTCCGCTGTAATCAAACACTTCCTATGATTACTCAGGAAGTATCCAGAATCCAGCTCTCCCTCGATGACGAACTGGTCGCCTGTGCAAAATGCATGCGTCATCACTGGCATGTGGCTGTCACTGACCCGACATGGACGGAACATCCGTCCATACGTCCTGGCTATCTCACCTGCCTGCTTGCCTGCCTGTCTGTCTGATTTGCCTGTCCGTCCCCTGTCTGAGTGTCTGTCGGTCTATACTACCCGTTGCTTCTCCTTCCACTGTCTGCCTGTCGTGCTTTCGTCTGTCCTACCGTCCGTCCGTCCGTCCGTCTGTCCGTCCGTCCGTCCCACGGTCACGGTCCGGTCCGGTCTCGGTCACGGTCCGGTCCGGTATCCCCACCCGTCCGGACCGGACCCGGTTCCCGGTACTAACATCTCCAGCGGGCCCGTCCAAAGTATGTACAGCCGGGCCGGCCGGTTCGCGGAGCAGTGACGAACTTCAGCTCTCTCTCCGGGCCAGTGAGTCAGCCCGGCGCCCGGCGCGAACGGCTACTTAGCGGCGGGAGCGCGCGGGCGGCGCCTCAGTCGCGAACGGGACGCTGACGGGAGAGGTCGTGACGGTGCTGAGTATATCAAGGTGAGTGTGCCCGTGGCCCGTGGGTGGGACGAGGGGCGATGGTACTGGTCTGTGAAGTAGCGTAGAGTTTTGGGGTGGAAATAGCATGTAGCTTTGTTTTTTTTCTGATTTCTTTTTTATCGAAATGTTTTTTTTTCAGCTAGGTAGTGCCTGGGTATTTCCAAACTGAGGCTTTTGTCCACATATAAGGTGCATTTAGAGAGATTTATGTAGCTGCTGGAGCTGGTGAAGCCCCACCCATGATAACCATACCTTGCCCGTTATCACCCGTTGCAGACCTCAGTGCAGCCGCCCACCCGCCTTCTCCCGTAGCCGTTACTCCGTGACCCGAATGTCCACTTTCTGCCGGTTCTCCCGGACCTCATTGAGTATTGAGTAGGCATGAGTAGGGATCAAACCGTGCTGATGACAGTACTCTGTGGTCCTCGCCCGTTTGTGACGACTGTGCTATCGACTGTTTCAACGGTAATACGGTAATACGTACATGCTAGGATATTGCTTATTTGGAATCAGAATGTAAAGAAACAAAAATGTTTCATGATTCAGTGTGTGCGCTTCATGTCATGAATTTTAGCACGTCCTATTCGTTTCCAACTGTGAGCTCTGGTTCAATAATAATGGTCCAATTTATTGGTCGGATACAATCAAAGGCTGAGCCAAACAATGAAGGCGTGAATCAAACGAGGACGTCTCCCGTGGCGTCGATCATTTTAAGTGCCGTGTTTACCCGACACCGCATCACTCGGCTCGCCGCATCGAGTCTCCGGTTCACTCGGTACACGCGCACCGTATGTTGTGCACTGAGCCTAGAGCTGAGCGGCGGGCCTAATTTGCCGCGTCTCCGGTGCAGAGCAGATCTTGTCGAGCCCGACGGGAACGACCGGGCGTGCTGGACTTCGTGACCGGGAGCGCACCGTCAGCTGTGCCCAGAGCACGGTCTGACTACGGTCTGAGCACGTTTGGAACACGCCCAGAGCAGAACTGGAGCACGGCTGGGGTACGCCCCCCCCCCGGGTTTAAAGTCTGAACTCTGAGGTCACTGACCGACCTGGTGTGCCCCGGCGGAGGCCTGTTGAACTGGTCCCCGGGCTTCCGGACTAGTCACTGTTCGACAGAAAGCACCGGTTCAGTGCGGAACCAGAGCGGTCAGCAGCCCGGCATACCTGCCCGGTGACCTAGCCGGAGGGACCGGTTCGTCGGTCATCTCTCACTCTCCCGTTCTGGAGGAGTCCGCCGCTCACCACTGACAAAGCTTGTGGCGCACACGGGCGAGCGCTGCGACCGGAGCCGTCGGTTCCTGGGTGTCTTCCGTGTGCGGTGAGCCCCGTTATCGGAACGAACCGGCCGGAAACGTGACCGGTCTGCGCGCAGTCGTCCGGTTCGCCCGTCCGGTCCGTCTGCACGGCGTCAGCGCGACTCGACGAGCCGGGTCGGACCGGGTCGAGGCTCGTTACAGTGCCGCGGTTTGGCCGAACAGGGCCGATGGTGGCTGTGCAAGTCAGCGCGGTCGGTGCTGACTGCTGGTATACAGATACTGCGGTCATGGCTCGGGGAGTTGTGCGCACGGGTCAGACTGGGTGAGCCACCGGAGGCCGAGCGGTACTGGACTGGTCAAAATCCGCAGTGGCGTTGTTTGATGAGCGGTGGATATGCGGGTGGAAAGCAGACGAAGGTGCCGCCTTTATTTCCTAGTGAATACGGCTGTTACCTTGCTTAACTTCTGTGTTCTTCGGTAAATGAACCTGATCCTGATCCTGAATCTCATCGGTTACCTTCTGAAACCGCTATGTTTTCCGGTAAACAAACTTGTAAATAAGCTTGATTACCATATATTACCGCCGCGTTTCTGTCCGGCAGATGAAGCTGTCTGGTTGTCTGCTGCTGGCCGTGGCCGCTGCCTGCGTGGTCACGGTTCATCCGCTGCCCACCGAGCCGCTGGAACAGCCGGCCGCTGCCAGCCCTTCCACGGACGAAAACGTGCTGCCTTCGTGAGTATATCTAGACAGAAACGTTCCAGTAGACAATACATCGGTTTTATGCAGTACTCGGGTAATGCGTGCCAGCCAGATATTTTGCGAACATTTCGAAGTACAGCTTATGGGGCATCGTACACACATGGTCGGCGATAGATAAGGTTTTATCTATTCTGTTGGTAGTTTGATATCTCGGTCTCCGATCACAGTACAATTGGGTCAATCACTCACCCTCGTTTTGTTTGCTCTCTGGCTCAGTGTTGTTTTGATGAGCCAATCTGTCTCATTGTTGATCCACAGAAGTCTTCACTGCACCTTTGTATCTATGGTCTGATGCCCTAAATTGCGACGCTTCGTGTCTAAAAAGCGACCCCTGACCTATGGCCCATCCGACATGTATTCTCGGACAATGCACTGTATGCCGCGACAAACGATCGGTTCATTTAGCATTGCGAGGGCCGACGACTGATAAAAGGCCACCCTCACTGATAAAAGGCCGCCCTTGCTATGCGACATGCTTCGTCTGTTCTTTAATTACGGGCAACAGAGCCAACGTTTTGTCACAGCCGATATAACTGTAACGCATGAGATAGACTCCCATCATTTGACTCCCAACTCCAACCCCCCAATCTCATTCAAGAAACGCAGCGCTCAAGTTCGAGATGCACACTTATGCGTGTTTTCTCCCGCCCTTCCGACACACCTTCCCGCCTTGTTTCCCGGCCAATCAGCGCCTCTGACTCCCCCGTCCCCCGTCTCCGCTGTCGGCAGCAGCTCCGGCTGGGGTCTCGCCTCACTGGACGCCTTGGCGCAGCGGATCAACTCGTGGATGGCGCCCGTGGTGCGGGCCATTGACGACATCGTGAGGAACAAGACCGTCACCGAGGTGTACCTGGACGCGCGGAACGCCACCGTCGAGGTGGCCACCCGCGTCAGCGAGTCAGAGGCCGTTCAGGGAGCCAAGGTGAGATTTTGGGGAGAGAACAGGATGAGGGGGGATGCCGATAGTGCTGGAACTCTCGGCTATTCATATTATACACTGTGCTCTCGGCATGTTTCGCTCTTCGAAAGGTGACGACGATACGATCGACGATAAACTGTGCTCTCGTCGATTGTATGTATGTTCGTAACAAACTAGGCAGTTCGTGAGAACAAAGGGCCACCATTTTATTCAAAGCCACCATTACGCTGTTTTCGTCGAACCATTCCGGCACGGGCCGGCATTATCGGGCTCTGCTATTTTCCTCCCTGCTCGATTCAGACCGGTATACACGTCTGATGGACGGAATGGGGTCGGAAGGGGAAGTGGAATAAGAGGAGATTTGTGGTAATTTGGCTACCCCTCGCCTCAGAGGCGAGATCGGACCCCAGATTTCCGCGAAAACACGGTAATCTGCGCAGAGGTGCTGAACTGAAAGCCTTCAGACGGATGCCGCGCGGTAACCGCTGTCGGTCGGACAGGGACACTGTCGCCGGCCGCCGCTTCACCGGCATCCGACTTGAGGGATGTATCGGAGCTCGGGCTACACTCTGAATTCGGCCTGACTGCAGCCGTTCGATTCTCCGGAGCCGAGCCGACTCTGTCCACCGGACAGTAATTAGGTCGTACTGATTTTTTATCGCTCCGTTCTGAACTTGCGATCCTGAATGGCAGGTCACATCCATTGTTACTGTGTATGCTCCTTCCTGCATATTGTTATTGTTTCACTCAGTGTAAATGATTCTTTTCACGCGACGCCTTTGCCCTTCCTGTACACGCAGAACGCTAATTCAATCATCTGACGATGCCATGAGCTCATGATTTGACCGGAAGAGTCAGATAAATAGATGAATGTTGTTCAGAGAAATTGGCAAAAATACTGGCCCATTTCCGGCTTTTTTCCTGTCTGCCTCTCCCCCGTCTGTGTCCTCTCTCCGGCGTAATCGGTCCAGGGGAAGTGCGCACGTGCCTCCCTCCCCCCCCCCCCGGGTGGTGCGGGCAGGACCACCGTGACCCAAGGTCACCTATCAGCGGTTCGTATCGCCCGTCCAGAACTGATCACCGCAGAGCCGCCTATGGTGGACCACGGGCGGAAGGCAGGTGCTGTGTGACGGCCATTTACCGAAGGTCACCTAATCAAGGTCATGTCCGTGGTGGGTGTACAGAACCGGTGGCGAACCCAGTGGCGACCGTTTGCCGGTAAAATAGCCGATTCAGCAGCACGGTGTCCCCAGCGGTCATTTCCCAGTTTTAGCGTTGAAGGCCCAGCATTGGTCCGCATTTTAAACATATTCCGTGTCAGAACATAGTCCAGACCAAAGTTTCATGCTATGAGCAAACAGTACAAGCTTAACTGCCGCAGACATGGCTCTCAATGTAAACAATCCTGCAGCTGTTTTTGCTCTGCTCACACGCGCAGACCTCAGATCAGACTAACCGGAGCACATGGGTCCGGTCCAACCGCCCCACCCGCGCGGCAGGACTCTGGACGTTCTTTGTCACTCGCACCACGCATTGAAACGATGACAGCTAAATCAGCTAAATGGCCAATTTCCGTCCTGCGTGTCCTCTGATGGCGTCACAGTGCGTCAGTAACGTCACGAACCGGACTTTTTTTTTTGCGTTGGGACGGACGGACAAAGGTCACACACACTCCGGGAGCGTGCTGCGTGTGAGTTGTGACGGAATGGATCGGAGCTTGAAAATGACTCTTGGTCCACAGTGACATTTCGTAATGCGTATGGACGTCCGTCAAAGTACGATGTTAACGTGCGGGCGGTGTCTTCTGCACTTGCGCAGTTTCTAGAAATGTCTTGTTTGACCTGTAATCTAAATATCTTGAAATCTGCGAATTACCACCCAGTAAGAAACAACATAGTGCATATATCCTAATGATAAATGTCTGATGTCTAATCCTAATGGCTACGCACAAATTCACTCTGTTTCAACCATATTACAGCGCCGTCAAAACCCCGACCCTTGCCCTCTGACCGCCCCCCTCCCCTGCGCTCCCCCAGGAGGCCATCTCGCCGCTGACCCAGCTGTTCGACCAGGTGCACGACCAGGTCAAGGACAAGACTCTGCACCAGCTGGCCGGCGATGTGCAGCGTCAGATCCAGCAGCTCGACCAGAGCGTAGCCCAGTTCATCCGCGGCCTGGGCGACGACCGCGACGACCAGCAGATTGTCGACCAGATCGCCGTCGAGGTGTCGCAGGCGACGGACGACGTGGACCCGGAGCAGGCGGTGGTGGCGGCGGCGACCGCGATCGAGCAGGCCTCGGTCGAGGAGAATGAGCTGGAGCCCTGAGCGGGGTGGGGGCACGGCACCGGCGGCCGAGGGAGGACGAGAGGCTGATGGCTGTTTTAGATGTGGGTGTTAGCGGGTAGGGGCGGGAGGGATTGGTCTCTAAATGAGTTTGGGAAGTGTACGGACCAGCTGATGTGTTTTGATTGCTGGACTGTCCGGTTGGTGAGACATAACCTCCTTTCAAGATGTGTGAACGAGCGCGATGTTTGTCTTTGGACACCGTACCGAGGTGCGGACAGAACAGATAGACAACATGGAGCCGTGGGCCCACCGGAGAATCGCACGGCGAGACTACCTGAAAAGCATTAAAAAACAATCCAGCCAGTGTTTTACAAATCTGACCGCTCATTGAAATGTGCCTTGTAGGCCACAGTGGCCGATGATCTGAAGTTCATTAACTTATGCGTGATCAATGAAGCATTCATTTGTCGTAGTAGGTATTGTAGAATATGTAGTAGACCCATTTTGTAGAATGAATTGGCTTGTGCGGAGTTTCTATAGAGAATTGAGCATATCACAGTAGATGTTACGTGACGTCCTGGTTTTAGACCAATACAAATAAAACCAATACACACGATTTCTTTACCTCTCCATGAGTACGTCTGAAGTTCGACTTAACGTCGGTGTCAATACGAAGCACGATTGTAATGTCACCCAAAATGTGGATGAGCATTCGCAAATATTCACCGCCCCAGAAACAATCGTGGTTTAAAATATTTACCAATACATCTTGTATTGAGGGTCATTTTCACGATGAGAGCAATGAACAGAGCAAACGACACTTCACAGAGACGACTCGCTGCCGCCGGGCGGCCAGGCGCAAGTCACAGTTTCGGACGAGACAATGCACTATCATTGTGCACTGCGGACTGTGCACCAGACAGCGCTCAGTGCACTTCACAGAGCACAGTAAGACTCGCTCCCCGGTTGGGGGCGCCCTCACAGCATTTCCCCGCCTCTCGGCCTTTACCCCCACCCCGTCCTGGTCCAACCCTTGCCTACGCCGGCCGCCGCTGGGGCCGACACAAACACCACACTGCAGTCCGGGGCCGGCGGACTGACCGCCAATGGACCTCACAGTCAGCCGCAGCGTGGAACAAACCCACGGTCGACCGTCACGGTGGCGGCGCCGTCATCTGGTCGTCACGCACCGTCACTCCGCCGACCACCGCGTCACGCCAGGTCGGTGGAGCGCATCTCCCGGCGCGCCGGGCTCGCCGCAGTCGCGCCACACCCGTCCCCAGTGCGTCATGTCACGCACCGGCCGCCGCCACTGCTCCGAGCGACCCACCCTCGGTCACTCTCCAGTCCGCTTCAGAACACAGCTCGCTGCTAGCATTCAGTTCACCTCCGACCGGGAATGAACGAGGGGGAACGGGTAGAGCGACGGAACAGCGAGAGTGACGGACAAAGCAGGCGCGGCCAGTGGTACCGCCTTACGGTCTAATGCCGTTGCTCAGGTGTGAGACTATGGTAGACTGGCGGCACTCAGGTGACGGGGTCTGCTAACGGGAGGCCAGTTACCGACGGGAGTTGATATACCATTGCTAGGGTTCCGCTGACGAGGTGCTGAACTCGGATGAGATAGACCGAGTGTGATGACAGGCCGACGGTCTGATGATTGACGGAATTTTTCTTATGACAGACTGACTGTCTAATGACGGGGGCGAGCTCAGTCGACGACGGGAACAGTACCTCAGTTGTTGAGTACCATCATGCGCGGTGCGATGTTCATCGACATAAGCTCCTGGAAGAGCAGTTTACAGGCGTACGGCATCCGAACTTGAGATATCTGCGAAAGAACGGGAAAGACTCAGTCAGAAACGGAACGTTACCGTACATACAGAGACATTCTAAAATTGAGGTGGCTGAATTTGATTTGAGCTACGAAAAATAAGCAATGAAATGACAGGAAAACACTTAGGACACTCTTATGGCGTTGGAAGAAAGTACGATCCAATGGGAAAACCTAGTGGGTTGAAGGCGATCTGGAAAACATGAGATACACTTGTCAAGTGATCTATTGACGTCCGAGAGTCAAGTCTGGGGACTTCCAAATAAGACATAAATCCTCTGAGACGTCACGACTAACAATGCGAACATGAACTACTTAACGACTCAGACCGCACCTCATTGTCATTGGACTACACGAGATGACGCGCCACTCGGTGAGCACAGGCAGTTATGCGGCTTAAATTGCAGAGGAAGTGGCCCGTTGGTGACGCAGTTGAACCACTCGTGACTGACTGGGCCGACCAAGATCCGAAGCTGAGTCATCGCTCTAATACTGACACTTGACAATTGATCCTCCAGGCTCGACCATGCGCGACAACTCGACCCGATACCAAAACACCCAGCCCCACCATCTCCAGCCCGCACCCCCACCGTACCTGAGTCTTGTTCTTGCAGCCCTTGCACTCGAAGGTGTTGTTGCGCAGGTTGGCGATACAGATGAGGCCGCAGAAGTTGCAGACGTGCACTCGGTACGGGTCGCTGACCTCGAACAGTCGCTCTCGCAGGAACTGAGCGGCTCCGTGGGCGATCTGACAGTCGCGCTCCATCTCGCCGAAACGCAGACCACCGTCCCTATGAGAGTAGATATCAGGTTAGAACAGAACGGACACAGACACCACGGACATGTCGGAACACAACGGACACAGACACCACGGACATGTCGGAACACAACGGACACAGACACCACGGACATGTCGGAACACAACGGACACAGACACCACGGACATGTCGGAACACAACGGACACAGGCACCACGGACATGTCGGAACACAACGGACACAGACACCACGGACATGTCGGAACACAACGGACACAGACACCACGGACATGTCGGAACACAACGGACACAGACACCACGGACATGTCGGAACACAACGGACACAGACACCACGGACATGTCGGAACACAACGGACACAGACACCACGGACATGTCGGAACAGAAGGGACACAGACACCACGGACATGCCGGAACAGAAGGGACACAGACACCACGGACATGCCGGAACAGAAGGGACACACACCGCCGTCCCTGTGCGGGCAGATACAGCAGGTCAGATCAGAACGGTCAGACCGTCGTTTCTGAGTGGGCGGACACAGACACATGTTATATAGGAACGGCCACAGACTGCCGTCCCTTTCTGGGCAGACGCAAACACGGACAGGTCAGAGACAGTCACAGACAGTCAGAGACAGTCACAGACCGACGGATGGTCTGGTCACACACGGATCGGTGATAATTAAACGGTCACTTCAAAACTGTCGGCATAGACTACCTGTGTATATATTACCCTGCTTTATAATCCAGATAAACACGAAAAACATTCCGAACTGTACCAAAATCAGCTATGATCGACAACAATCGACCAGGACGTCCCCATTCCGCCGCACCCCACCGCCCACCGCTGTCCCTCCCACCGACCGCGCCACTGACCTGGCTCGACCCTCCATGGGCTGCCGGACCAGGATCTGCACGGGTCCGCGCGCCCGCGAGTGGATCTTGTCGTCCACCATGTGCTTCAGACGCTGGTAGTAGGTGGGCCCCAGGAAAATCTGGGCCTGCATCTTACGGCCCGTGTGCCCGCAGTACATAATCTGACGGCGGAAGGGCGAGTAGTCAGCAGGCACAGTGATATTCTGATGGTGGAGTGGAGAGAAGGGTTACGATGGGCTGAGATCTCGGACATAGCGATTTGCCTAAGTAGGTGAACTTTCGCACGCAGCGAGCACACCTGAATCATCAACGATATGATGCCCCATCGTTTGCTCTTCAAGCTTCCAACTTTCTCAACAACAAATTAAATCAATGACACCTTCATTGAAACTCCAATTAAGCATCCACCGCTCCTATCAAAGTAACCGAGCATGCGTGTGAACTGTGAACAGCGCCCACCTCGTTGCCTCTCAGGTGGTAGCCGTAGTCCTTGAGCAGCTCCGAGACCTTCTGCACGTTCACGGCGTCGTTAAACGGCGTGGCGTCACCGATCTCACCCTTGTTGGAAGACACCTGAAACACGCAACGCAAATACGGAGGTCAGCCCACAAAACGTATAAATGAGTGGGTAAGGAAGCACGGAAAAAATATGGAGCTACAAAATTATTTTACAAATATATATTACGTAACCCAGTCAAATTACCAACTAATCACACCCACATAACATCAATCCAAATATGTGATGCTCTACTAACCTACACGCGACCAGTGAATGTCTCCTCCCCGTCTTTCTCCCTTTGTCCCTTCTCTATCTCCCCTCCATCCTACCCATCCCCCGTCTGCCTCTCACCTTCCCCTGTAGACACTCGATCAAGTGACCGATTGTCATACGCGAGGGGATGGCGTGCGGGTTGATGATGATGTCCGGGGTGATACCCTCGGCTGTGAACGGCATGTCCTCCTGGCGGAACTGGATACCGCAAGTACCTGTGACGCGGGCGGGATACAAATGGTCAACAACGGACAATACAAAAAAGAGACAGTAACGAGATAATGGGAGAAGACACGAGGGCATGCTGCACTTGATAGTGCTTTTTATGGATTTGGTTGTTGTTTTGCTAGTTAACAATCATCGTACCAAATTGTTTCACCTAATAGAACTGGAGTCCAACGCCAACAGAAAATTATCACTGCAAACCAGTATACTATACTATTGTTAATCACGCGAGCAACCGATAAAACAACGCCACTGCAGAATCTGCACCAAACCGTTCAGCCAGGTCGCCGAACCGCTCACCCTTCTGTCCGTGCCGGGAGGCGAACTTGTCGCCGATCTGCGGAATTCGGATGGAGCGGACTCGGATCTTGGTGAACTTGTAGCCGTCGTTGTTGAGCGTCAGCATCACCTGGTCGACGATACCCGTCTCCGAGTTGCGGAGGAACGTCGAGGCGTCCCGCTTGGTGAACCTCTTGGCCGAGCCCTCCAGCTGAACAGGTCGTACGGGAGAAAGGAGTGTTACGGTGCGGTTATAACTCGGCATTCCGGCAGCAGCGGGGCCCGCCGCCAATACTGACAGCTAACACGCGTCGCATCCCGGGGTCTCTAGAGGTTATGCAAAAGCGTCAAACAGTTCGATTACTGGATCTTCATATCAAAAAGTCAAGTAGCACACGCTGCAAAAGCCTAATAAATTAAAGCATACACATTTGCAACTTTCTTGCCACCAAATAAACCCTAGTGCCCCCAATTCAGTTACCCTGCCCAGTGCCCACCTCAGTAAACCTCTCCCAGCTCGACATCCCCCTCCCGACTCTCCCTGACCTCGTCGTCGTTCTCGGGCAGCACGATGGTCTTGCCGATGATGACGTCGTCGCCGGAGACGCGCACACCCGGCGCCACGATACCGTCATCGTCAAGCTTCTCGTAGATGGCGTTCCGCATGCCCTGGCACGTGTCGCGCGACGGACGCTCGAACGTCTCCTCCTGGTCGCCGATCTTCTTCGTTTCGGCGTCCTGTCAGGAGGGGAGGGTGTTGATCACTATTCAGCAGGGTAAGAAAATACGGCATCGGGCCCACATCCTTCAGTATTTTCGTATTGAGCAGCACGGCATGCCAAGTTGTAGAATATCTATTGTTTTTATGTGCTTCGGTCACCGCCCACCCCAGTCCTACGCTCAGCACCGCCGTACCTTGTAGCTTCGGTAGAAGCATGACCGGAAGAAGCCCCGCTCCACGGCGGAGGCGTTCATGACCACCGAGTCCTCCTGGTTGTAGCCCGTGTAGCAGGCGATCGCCACGATCGAGTTGATGCCGGCCGGCAGCTCTCGGAAGCGCAGGTACTCCATGCTGCGCGTGGTGACCAGCGGCTTTTGCGGGTAGAACAGCACGTGCGCCAGCGTGTCCATACGCACGTGGTAGTTGGTGATGTACACGCCCATGGCCTGCTTACCCATAGCACTCTGCGGGATGATGGAGAGAAAGAGGTTAGACGAGGTACACGGGATGGGTATAATTTGAAAAAGCGAGATTGTCATGAAGCATGAACCAACTTAATAATGATTGAATGATCAGGTAACTTTAACTGCAACGGCCACCCATCCTTTTTTTAGGTAGACTCCGGTTGGACCCACCTGGTAAGTGTTCCTGGGGCTCTGGTTGTGATCCGGGAAGGGGATGATGGACGCGCACACCCCCAGGATCATGGCCGGGTGGATCTCGCAGTGCGTGTACGTGGTGCAGTAGACGTTGTCCTTCTCGCCGTTCAGGTCGTCGGGCGTCATGGCGATCATGGTGGTCTCCTCCTCCAGGCAGTCGATGTACTCGACCACGCCGGAGGCCACCAGGTCGTGCCAGCTGACGACGGCAAAGGGGCGTCAGTTACGCGCTACTCTGCACGATATGAAGCACAAACGGTCTATAACTACGTGAATCACGTAACATAAATGTGGGTGGTAAGGGTGGTATAATGACGGCAGGGTTCGACCGCCGCGCCGCCGCCTCAGACCAGCGGTATCATGAACGTGCAGTCACCTGTAGTTGTTGTACTCGCGGCCCTTCAGCATGTCGATGTGCCGCTTCTTGAGCAGCAGCTGGCCCTTCTCGACGATCAGCAGCGGCCGGCAGATCCGACCGGCGTCCGTGTAGATCCGGATCTCGCGGTCGCGGATATCGCGCACCATACACACCTAGCGGGCAGACAGGCGGAAGCGGTTGTAAATTACGGCAGACATGCGTGAGCGGAGTGTGAGTCAGGCTACTGTAAGCACATTAAACACACACTCTCCAGTTGACACAAATAGACCACCGGGGTCTACTTAGGCTGACCTCCGAGACGATGATGTCCATCTGCCGGCGCAGCTTCCTCAGTGTGGTCATCAGCTGCTCAGGGTCGCGATGGATACCCACCCAGCAGCCGTTCACAAAGATCTTGGTGGCGCTGAGGAAACACACCATCACAATACATTAGACAAAGTGATGATGCATCAAGAAGCAGACGAGCTAAAAACGCAGGGCCGATGCTAAAATCTAAGAGCGATAAAAAGTACCAACTTACAATTTTTTTTTCCATAAACTGATAGACAGCCGTGGAAGACGCCCTTTTAACCCGCGCCCTGCTGGGGGTCCTGGATTTCCACGCCCTGCTGGGGGGGGGGGGGTGTTTGAACACCCCCCCTTGTAACTCGGCTCCTGGGCCACGTAGAGATACGCAGAAGGCGGCGTTCGAAAGAGCGTAAAAAATAATGACGAAATCACTTCGGTCAATTTTTTGGTCAGGTCAAAGGTCAGGTCACCAGAGGTCATTGAAGGCAAAATTTCGCCGATTTCCAGGTCGAATGTCGAAAATTTCCAAGAAGCCAACGCATAACTCGGGAACCAATAGAGCTACAGCGCCGCGAAAAAGCGCATTCGATAGCCCTTTTAACGCCCTTTCTGAGTAATTCTCTCAGATTTGACCTAACGTCAACGGTTTTGCCTGCAGGGGGCAAAAACTGCAAAAATAGCCGATTTTTTCGAAAACAGTTTTTCTGCAATAACTTTTGACCCAAGCCTTGTACGAGCTTACTTTTACCGGCATCGTGTTACTCTCGTCAAGACGCATCGAATGAACTATAACTTGACCTTGAAAGGTCAACTTGAAAATTTGACCTCAGGTCAAGGTCATGACCTGACCGGAAAGGGTCATGTTGCATATCAGTCGATCCGTATCGTCGAGCTGAACACATCTAAGGCGTTTTCATCACTCTAGCATGCCTCTATCAAAAGTTATTTGCGAAAAACTGTTAGATACCATTCGTGACCTAAGATGACCTCAGGGCATAAACAAGGGTCACGGACACCATTTTCAAGTTCAGTGTGTCTAAACCACTTGTAATTCGGTGTTTGGGAGTGTTTATAATGTCTTTCATCCAAAAGAGGCGCATTTCAATTTTCTCCCATTGACTTATAATGGGGAGGTCGCAAAATTGACCTGACCTTAGGTCATCGATATCAAAATTTTGAGATATACATTTTGTACATACTATTGCTCTTAGCAATCGCTGAAAGTTTCAAAGTGATCGGTCACTCGGTGTAGCTATGACAGACATTGAAACTTTTTATGAGGTGAGGTCACTTCAAGTGACCTGGTGACCTGACCTTGAATGACCTTGGTCTGAAATTTTTACAACATGTGTAGAATTGATGTATGATAAGGTGTACCAAAAACGGCGGCGCTCCGCGCCGCCGTTTTTGAGATATTCGCGAAAAACCACAAGGGGGGGTGTTCAAACACCCCCCCCCCAGCAGGGCGCGGGTTAACATCGGTTGCTTATGATAACATTCAAAGTAAGTGTAATAGAATTGCAGCCAGCCGATACCAGACATTGGTACAGCGCAGGGCAAGGTTACACGCCGGGGGCGCGCGCGGTACTGACTCGATGATGGCGCTGGGCGCGATCTCCTCCAGATTCTCCATACTCCACTCCTCCAGGAACTCGAGGATGGGCGACGGCTGAGAGCCCACAGAAATGTACGCCATCAGGGCCAGGTTCTTCACCAGACCTGCGAGCAGACGACGCACGATCGTTACAAGACATGTACCACAGCATGGGTGGAGAGATTTTATCAGGAAACGGCAATACGTGGGATTGAGGGCTCACGTGGTAGCCAAACCACCGAGAAAGAAAATAACGCTACCAAAAAGTTGCACGCAAACGGTCCGCTGCAGCGTTTGAATCAATCTGCAAATATCACTCTTAAATCTGACGGGCGGTTCGCATCACAATCACTCCCCATCTGTTCTGAATTACGTAGCGGAACACTCATAACGTCTGCACATTCTGAGCGGATCACTGACCGACGGCGGCTCCCTCGGGCGTCTCGGCCGGGCAGATCATCCCCCACAGGGTGTTGTGCAGCTGACGCGGCTTGGCCAGCTTTCCGTCTCGGCCGATCGGCGAGTTGACTCTCCGCAGATGCGACAGGGTCGAGGCGAACGTCAGTCGGTTCAACACCTGTGTGCCGGGAGAGAATGGTTATGGCAGAGTGCGAATACACGGGGGAGAACGGTTACAGCACGGTGCGAAGACGTTTGGCGACCGAGTATCACACACACCATAGGTTGTATGCTAGATAACAGTTCAAACCCCAAGAATTACTGCCCACCTACCTGGGAGACGCCGGCGCGGGCCTGGTGCGCCTTCTTCTGGTCTCCCCAGTTGCCCGTGGCCAGCGAGTACTTCAGGCCGTCCGTGATGGTGGATGTCTTCACGGCCAGGTGCAGGCCAAAGTCCTTGCCGTTGTCGATAAACTTCTGCGCGTACATGCGCACCTCCTTCAGCAGGTTCTTGAACAGGCTGGAGAAAACAAACAGCAACAGTCACCCTTACGATAACCGTACAGCCTTGAAAGACAATATGACGAACGGAAACGGATCTAGAATAAACTATGTATGAGAAACGTCCAGACTACCTTAAAGGGACAGTATTACCATTTTGATGAAATTTGACATTGCATAGGCCCCACCTTTCTGGTCCGGGAACTGAAGACCGATCCTCGAAGCTCCACACCGTTATCCCGCTATCGCCGCTCAAAGTACGAAAGGTGTACTACACTTTGAATCGTGCTTCACTATCTTCACTGTTTAAATGTTTGCGCCGTTTTGAATTGACCGCCAGTAATAAAACTTTTACCCTGGTCATTTCATCAAATTTTATAAAGCCAATACGTTTTTCGCACTCATTCATCACCGTTAAATTCATTAAATGGTCGTAGGCAATTTCCGCTGTTTCCTTCGGATTGTAGCGGCTCAACAAAGGAATTCCTTCAGCTTGAAGGAATTCCTTCAGCTTGTCACGTGATATCTTCTGGGCAATACCTAATGCTGCCTTTCCCTAACGACAACTCAATCAGAAGAGCGGCCGCGTAAGCGTAGCGTCAATAATGTATTATCTGCGCCAGTTCTGTAGTAATTTCTCAGGCTTCCAAAGTGGCGGCCATGCTTGTAGTGGTGGTTCGCTCATGAAAATGACTCGCTCATGAAAAAATATTTTTCACCGAGTTCGGTCCTCAAACTATGTTTTTCTGATTCAGAAAAATAAGAAATGCTAGTAAAAAAAAATCAGCTCCATACATTGATTTTTTTTTTTCGATGATACTGTCCCTTTAATGCTTTGAACGTAAGCAAGCAGCCATTTCATTCATTCATTCAATCAGCAAGCAAACAGATGGATAGGGTCAATAAACCGGAAGAGCGGAGTACACGGGCGCAGTAGCCCGCCCCCGTCTCACCCCCTGAAGAGGAAGGCCAGCAGTAGCCCGCCCCCGTCTCACCCCCTGAAGAGGAAGGCCAGCAGCGGTCCGGCCAGGTCGAGCCGCTTGTTTCCGTAGTGATCTCGGTCGTCGAGCTCCCGCCGGCCCAGCGAGGCCATCAGCAGGCGGTGCACCATGTAACTGGGGAGAGGCGCGCGTGTTGTGGTTAGGAAAAAATAGAGATGCCGAGCTACGAAATTTACGAACAATATGCGTCAAAATTGGGATACAAAGATTGAGTCACAGCATACGCTGCAGCTGACAGTAAGCCAGACTCTTCCCAGCCAGATGCCCGACGTAACTGTCTAATTTTGAGCACAGTCCAACCACCAGAAGTCTTCATCAAGGGCTATTGACACAGCCTCCACGTCTCACCCGAGGAAGTAGGCTTTCTTTGTCTCGCAGAAGTCTGAGACGCCGACGTGGGGCAGCATCTCCTTCTGCAGGATCTCGCGGGCATACTTGATACGCTTCTCCTTAGTGACTCCCGGCTTGGCGCCGCGAGCTCCGATAAAGTTGAGCGCAACGTTCTGCTCCTGGATCACGAACGCCTCGTCCAGCGACGGCTTCACCTGAGGGACGGACCATGAAAATCACGGGAGTTAGTACAAGAGACAGGCGACGGAATGGTCGAGCGAATAGGTTGTGAATAGAAAACGTGAGCAAAATACGACACAGCAGAACACAACAAAAACCTAGATATCTTTTCAGTTGTTTATTTCGAAAAATGTTTAAAAATACTTTTTTCAGAAAAAAATGTGCTTGCGATCATTGAAGTCAGCCGACAAAGTAATATTTCCAGTTTTCCCGTCATCCGCAGCACCGTTCTGCACTTTCCGCCCCGGCTACTGACCATTTCCATCATTTCTGGGTCGTCGAAGTCGTAGATAATGTGCTCCAGGATGTCACGGTCGGCGACAAAACCCAGCGCGCGGAACACGATCATGATCGGGATCTCCTGCTTGATGTATGGCAAGATCGCGATGATCCGCTGGCCGATCGCAGACTTCTTGACGTTCTGAGAGCGAGGAAAGACGTCATTAGCAAAATCCAAACAGTGAATGGGATGAACTCGTGAACATATATCAAAGAAAACCTTAACAAAAATAGCATATAGCACGTCAAAAATAGCACGTCAAGCAAGCAAGCAAGATTCTTTGTAGCGAATGTTACTCCAGTGAACAATCGTTAAATTATACCTGTCCGGTCCTGGCGAGCATGTTGACCCAGAGCGTAGAGGTGGGTCGTGACGAGTACTCGACGGCGGAGCGGATCTCGGCCTTGTACTGGTACTTGCCGTCCCTCATGCTGAACACGTACACAGTGTTGGTGGCCATCTTCTCCTGGGCAATCAAAACCTGTCGGCACAGCAATGTGTCCAAAATTGTAATGTTGCGGGGAAATCCTCCCATAATGAAAAGTATAATGACATCTTAAAAATATAAATAAAAACATCCTCACGGCAGTCACGACTTATAATAACAACCTCGAACCCAAACGTCTAGGAGCAAGAGAAACACAAACCTCACAAACTCTCACAATAGGTACGCCAAGACAACCATTCAAATAACCAAAATGTTCAAATATATGACCCGACTTAACCCGCGCCCCGTAGGGGGGGGGGGCCGAAACGGCCCCCCCTGTCCTTTTCGGTCGATATCTCCTAAACGGCTGGAGATATCGCCACCAAACTTTCAGGACCCCTCCGGGCATCAATTTTACACATTGTGACCAAAAATTTTTCCAGAGGCTATGATAGGTTGGCCACAAATGACGTCAGAGTGACGTCATGTTCTGTCATTTTCGACCGAAAAAAGACCTTCGCGAGAAGACCTGTCAGGACTACAGCTTTGAAGATACAGAAAAATGATCAAGACATAAAAGGTGTAGAATTGACAGGGCTACAAAACTGCTATCTCGAATTTTTGAAATTTTTGAGTTTTGACCCCCAAAAATCAAAAAAGCATTTTTTTTGGATATACTCGCCAAAAAATCCAAAAAGTTTTTTGAATTTCGAAAAAACCGGAATATATGTGATAGTGCCTACCGCCTTCTATCTACATACCAAATTTCAGATCGATACCTCGTTTTTTGGCCAAGTTATAGCGAAAAAAACTGTTCAAAAATGATGACGTCAAATTTTCAAACTCAATTTTTGGCAATTCTAGAACTCGTAGAGCAAAACGAAGACCACCATTAGACTCCCCGTGACGAGCTGCATCGAATCGATACCCATTTTATGCAAAAATATCAACTTTGAAATTTGACCTAATTTGACCTGACCTTGACCTGACCTTCACAAAAACGTGACCTAGGCTGGCCCCAAAGGCTGCCTAACCCACATAATCGCATTTGTCATGTAAAATGGACCATAAAACATGTATCACACGACACATTCATATTGTGACCCCCGGTGACCTGACCTCGCTGTGACCTGACCTGGTATCAGTGACCTCAGATAGCAAGGTATGTATTTGACGAACAATGTACCATCGATGGTTTTCAATAAATCACCAATTTACTCGCTTTCACAGCACATTTCTTGAATTGCCTGTGAACGGTGAAAATCTGACCTTTGACCTGACCTGTGACGTCATCATTTTGACCTAGGTCAATGAAATTTGGTCACAAGGTAGTTCCCGGGTGGGGCTATCGAACGCCGTTGGAATTTTGAAAATCGGCCGGTAACTTTCCGAGATCTTAGGGGGGGGGGGGGGGGCCGAAACGGCCCCCCTACGGGTGGTAGGGTCCGCCGGTAGCCCTACGGGGCGCGGGTTAAAAACCTCATGTAACATCCCGAGTATCAGAATGCCTTCAAAGTTTTATCAGTATTTAATATTTCTGCTTTATTTTCTCGTGACATATATAAAAAGTGGCATATATAAAAAGGGGTCGAAGTCAAGTTTTATGAAAATAACGGCATCCTTTCCGGCCTTTTTTCTACATCCTCCCCCTAACGTAAAATGAATTTAGCCAAACTGCGGCACAGACACGATTGGTGAGTGGTGGGAGGGCGCACGGGAGAGTCCCGGAATTCAATCCACCAAGATAACATAGCATAGTGAAAAGTCGCCAGGCTATACTGCAAATTAAATCTACGTCTCAAGCCAATAAGCGGAGACACGGGCGTACCTTTTCGGATCCGTTGATGATGAAGTAGCCGCCGGGGTCGAGCGGACACTCGTTGAGCTGGGTCAGATCGCGGTCCGTGAGGCCCGACAGCAGACAGTGCGCCGAGCGCAACATGATCGGAATCTTGCCTGCGGTGGACCGGGACAGCGCGGGGTCAGGGAGGTAGACCGGCATGTCACAACAGTCTAAAGCAGTAGGCGGGCCAGCATCGCGTCGGTCCGCCGGTCAGAGTGGTGGAACGGTATAACACAAAGAGAGGCGCAGGAAATTCACCGACAACTCCTCCTCACCGGTAAACTAGCCAATAAACGAACAACTTCGTGGGATTTCAAAACAAGATCTTGGCCAAATACTTCACAAAGAGATAGCACTAACGACCGTGTTCAGTGCCGACACACCAATCTCCTCGCAGCTCCCAAACACCGCCTACGATGATTGAAGCCCTCCATCCCCACCACTAGCCCCAGCAGCACCCACCGATGAAGGTCTTCTGCTCCTGTGTGACGATCGGCTCCTCGCCCTCCTTGATGACGGTCTTTGTGATGTCCACGTAGAGCGGCGCCGAGTACACGAGGTTGCGCAGTCGCGCCTCGTTGGGAAACATGGCCGACGGCGCTCCGTCCGTCTCCCAATGTGTCGGCTTTGACAGGTAGATCTGCTCGAACTTGAGCAGGTAGCGCGGCTGCCGGCGGACGGAACGGGACAGAGGGTAACGGTGTGAGTCGGCATTTGGCGGGTAGATGGCTAAGGTCTCGGTAGTTCATCAAAAGTTGTGCGCACGTGTATTCAACGACCAAGTGAGAGCAAAAGGAGACTTTTTTGTGAGTGGAATAATCATTACATGAATCAAGTTGCAATTGACTGAGCCACTACCATTGAACCACCATTACCACGATTAGGCTGACTTACTTTTTCCTTATTAGGCTGACTTATTTTTCCCCACACTGTATGGTAACCCATCCACAAAACCGGCCACGGACGCCCCCTTTCTCTCCTGCGGCGCTCACCGGCGTCTCCATCTCTCCAGCCGTGTGCTGCGCCTCCGCCTGCAGGTCGATGGCCGGCGAGTCCTCCACGATCCGCTGCACGGACATCTGGATGAACTCGTCGAACGAGTCCAGCTGCTGCCGCACCAGGCCCTTCTCGTCAAAGTACGAGTTGATGACGATCCAGCAGGCCTCCTGCCAGAGCTCCGAGGAGATCTCCTCCTGGTCCTCATCCTCGTACATGTCTGAAACGAGTTGGCCATGATAATCATCAGCGAATGAATAGGGAGCTGAGTGACTGCAACATATGATGTCAAGCATAACACTGGTAAGCAGTGGATCACCCATTTAAACTTAAAAATGGCATATGTATCCACCTCAGATGATTCAGTGGGGCAAATATATTTGTGAGGTACTTCTTTTGTCTTATTCATGATTTTTTTTTTATGAAGCGTTCACATGTGATACTATAGCTAAGTCTACAGCACTGCTGCCAATCACTTATCAACAATCAATATCCTTTACTCCTGTTGCATATGTATCTGTTTTGTGTAAAGGATGTTTTCAGTATCAACAAGAATCAGCTGTTTAGAGCAAAATGAAACTTCAAGCCACAAGAACTGATATGTTAAGGGCTAACTTTTTTGCTAAGGAATAAGGGGTAGGTATGGCATTACTCCAGTAGGTACTTATCAAGGATTATCTTGATCTGGCTAACATATAAGACAAAGGACATCAGGAGAGCTCCTTCTTGTCATTGTAATGGTTATGATGATGTATTGTTAATTGTGTTTCTACTTTCTATGCTGTTTGATTCACCCTGCCTGGCCCTGCATGGCCTCCCAGCAGACTTGTGAAAACCTGTGCAGACAAGGGACACAGTCACAATTGGGGATACAGCTTCATTATATTTTGCATTATTTGCTTTAGTGTCACAATATACTGCCAATGCTGAACAAATGAGAGTTTAACTGAAACTGATAAGTGGTTTGCTCCTGCAGCCTTTCAGAATGCTGGTGTCTGATGGTGCTGGATAAGAAGGGGAAATATAACCCCTTCTTGTATTGTGAGTAGGTATATAAGGGTGAATGAAATTCTTCCTGCAAAGCCTTGATGCTAATGCCAAGAGACCAATCATCACATGATTGTAGGCATCTGTAGGAACACATTCAGATTGTTGAATGCAGTTTTACTGGAACAGATTCCTAAATATTGAAGAAGGTACAAATAATCAGTTCTTAAAGGCAGTTCATTGCAGCAGCTTCCCTCCATATGGTGAACCATAAAAAGACAATTATGATCTCAGACTGAAAAGTAGGGCAGCAAAGTCAAAGAGGATTCAGATCGAGAGGTGACCATCCAGGGTTACATATCCACACCAGCACACACCATCCACACTGGGAACTTGTAGATAGCAGCTTGCATTGACTAGGTCCATAACATTTAGCACATTGTTTAGGCATCTTGATTTCCACTTTTCATATGAAGAACAGCAACAGAAGTTCACTTATTTCCTGGAAGATAATAAAGTGTCTTTAACTTTCTTGGACAGCAATGCACCAGCAGAGAAATTTTGCTCTGCTGTCATTCTTTAGGCCCATCCAAGGCTATATAAACCAGGTAGAACGCTCCCGAAGAAAAAGTGGTGACAAGCAATATTTAGTTGCCGCGACCCTCACTTGTTCAAGACTATATCCGCAAGCAGCATTTACAAGCTAGCGGAAATCGACCAATCGGCGTTCGGCAATACTCAACGCTGATTGGCCCGATGCTCGTGACGAAATTGCGGGGGACTGCAGCTACTCCCCTATGGCGTTTCATTGACTTATGACTTTTGAAGGGGATTTGTATCAGTTTTTGTTGGGTTTGAGGCCATTTTTGAGCTTGGATATTCTTTCCATGACCTTTGACTATATAATAACGACATTTAATCATGACATTTCTATATACTACCGGTGTCACATCGGCCAAAAAGACCGTAAGTACATGGGATAGACGGACCACTGCCGATGGGGCCACACATGCCGGCGTGTGGTCATCGGAGGCCCATGAGGGCTCGACATGGGCCCTTTATGGGTCGGTATAGGCCCAGTGGGTCCAGTGCAGGCCTACCAGGGGCCGGTGGCATATAATGTAAGGCTGTCTCGGGACGAATTGAGGGCTCATGGGGGCCATATAGGACCATTAGGGACCACATAAGCCAATCAGGGGTCCATTTAGGCCAATAAAGGCGCTTCAGGGACTTGAAGAGGCTATTCAAGAGCCGTGGTGGGCCCATGAGGGGACGGCATTGGTCCATCAGGTGCAGTCAGGGGATGTTGTACGGGTTTCTCAGTGACCCATTTGGGCATATCAGTGACCAATTTAGACCCAGCAGGGGGCTTTGTAGACCTATCAGGGGCTGGTGATGGTTTATCGGAGGCCAGCGTTAGTCCATCGGGGCACGGCATGCCCATCAGAGGTAATTGCGGGCCCACGCTGAACAATGATGGCCCTTCAACGGCCCCTAATGGATCTAGATTGACCCATGTTCCATGATGTGTCATGTATGCCCCTATAGCAGGCCTACTCAGACCCCTGATGGACGTTCCCGGCCTCTGATGACCCTATACTGAATCCTGGTGGGGCTCTAAGAGTCTCCAATAACCCTTCTTCAGCCCATTATTACCATACGCTGACACTAGAGGCCCCACATCAGCCGCAGGGCAGTCCGTGCCAAGACAGCATGTCTTTTCGGCCGATATTACATCGGTAATATTAATTAAAATCATGATTTTATGGTGCCATTATATAGCTAACAGTCATAAGAAATATATTTCAACTCGAAAACAGCTCGAAACAGCATATAATCTTAAAGAAACCCCTCCGAAATCCAAAAGCCTATACGGGTCCATAGAGAATAACTGCGGTCCCCCGCAATTTCGTCACGAGCGTCGGGCCAATCAGCGTCGAGCACTGCCGAGCGCTGATTGGTGGATTTTCCGCTAGCGCGTGAGTGCTGCTCGCGGAACAAGAGTTCGTCGACAATCCTCCACAAACGTCTGTCACCACTTTTCGTAATGCTAAACAGCCGGAGCGTACCCCCCTGGGCCCATCACAGCTCCAGCCTCCATGCAACATCCACACCACAGCTCAGTAAATCCAAATCCGCACCTGCAAAGTGCCTTCACATAAAAAGAATATCATCAAGATAAACATGTTTCACAGTCTGGTTAAGATCCCTGAAATTCTTTTTTCCTTACCTTCTTCATCATACATCTTGTCTATTCTTTATTTCAATTTGAAGAGTTGAAGCTTACGCCGCCAGCCGGGAAACGACCAGAACAAATTTACAGCAGCTTCCAGTGCAATAGTAATGCACTAGGACTTTTATGAAGAGAATATCTCAATCTTCTGACAAATAAAATCAACAAATTTATGTGTAAATTTCCAGTTAATCTGCTGGCACGCACATACATTCACCCGTCGCGGACGACGCGACGCATCTGCAAACAAATTCCGTCGCGCCACTTTTGATTTTATTTGTCACAATTGTCACACTGTGAAAGTGGCGGAGATAGTAATTTGCTGTTGTTATATTTCACAAATAATTTCGAACGAACAATTACAAACATCTTGAAATGTTCTCATCTATGCATTTTAATGCATTGTTATTTTATCCTCCGTGAATCTTTGTCTTTTATTATTTTTAAAATCCACATTTATCGTAAAATTCATCACTATCAAGAAAATAAACAGCCCGAAAATGGCGGACGAGGAGCAGGTTCGTTGCGCAGTGCACTGAAAATATAGTTGTTGGGGTATTCGTTTTGTTCCAAATTCGACAGTGCTTGAATATTTTTCTTTTCACATACCTTTCTTTCATTGTTCAACGACATTATGTGCATACTTTATTACATCGGCTTCATACAGCGCGATTTTGCTGCGTCGTAATTGTCCCAATGTGAAACTAGTACGATTTTCACGTGTTTTGTTTTTACTTTACAGCAAGTACGTCAGCTGGAGATACTTTGCACGCATCTATACGAAGCCACAGATGCCGTTCAAAGAGCAGAGGCAGAAAAGACCCTAGTTCAGTTTCAAAATGCTCCAGACACCCTCAATAAATGTCAGCTTCTCCTGCAGAGGGGAGATTCTCCGTATTCCCAGCTTCTGGCAGCAACCACCCTGACTAAACTGGTTACAAGAAATTCACAGTCTATATCCATGCACCAGCGAGTTGATATGAGTGAGTACAAACTTGAAGTTTATTGTATAATGTCTATTGTTGTAATGTGTTTTTTTGTGGTAGATATTATAAATATTTAGACACTAAGCCTTTCACAATGATATTGTAGGTACCTATTAAGTATTAATTGTGTCCTTGAGAACCACTTAATTTCATGCAAAACAAACATATAATCTGCAAGATGTAAATGCTCAGTGTGCATATTTTATTTTACAGCCTAATGCTTAAAAAGGCAAATGACAATGCTACTTAACCTGCTATCACAACATCTTTGATTGTGATATGTATCAAGATTTAAAACTTATTGAGGTGTTGTTTCTGGTTAGGTTGGCAATGCAATTGTCAATAAATGAAGGCAAACTTAAGGTTGTATCATCTTTCCTAAGCTTGTATGTATGTGCCATAAGTACTATTTCCCTGCCTCTTTTTCCTTGTGTAACTCAGCAAAGTTTGTATATTTGTATTTTAATTTGAGTCTTCACGCCATATGTTGTGATTATTTTATCTGCCGTCCAAAGGCAAAACCGCATGCGGGTCAGGTCATGACCCGACATATGCGTTTTTGCCTTTGGACGGCAGTTATGTGGTGTGGCATTAAATGTTGCATTAAGTAACTTAAACTTAGCTGGAATTTTAACTAAAACTTACTTTAAGTCAACTGTTTGTTGTGTATGTTTCACTGTCATTTTACAAAGTACAATATCCAGTCACGGCACCAATTTTTCCAGTTTTAAACTGCAACAGTTTGCATAAGCTGAGTAATCTGAGTGATATTTGGTTAGAGGCTGAAAGGAATTATAAATATTTTAGCCAATCTAGCTGTTTACTTTTTATTTGGCTGTAAAATACAAGGTACAAATGAAAGTTGATTGTAAAGGATTGGTTTGCTGAAGTGTTTGGTGATATTGTAACTGACAAAAAGTACCAATAAAGCAAGGGTTTTATTGCCATCAATGCTTTTTTGTTGCATTCATGAAGTTTATTTTTGGAGCAAATTGAAATTGGTATTCTTACAATGTATACATGACCACAACAATGTCAGTTCAGCTTAGTAACTACAGGAATGGAGGCCAAAAGGAGGTGTTTGGATTCCCCCATGCACTTTTCTGTAAACATATTAACCCGCGCCCCGTAGGGGGGGGGGGCCAAACGGCCCCCCTGCCCTTTTCCGTCGATATCTCCTAAACGGCTAGAGATATCGCCACCAAACTTTCATGACCCCTCCGGGCATCAATTTTACACATTGTGACCAAAATTTTTTTTCCAGAGGCTTTTATAGGTTGGCCACAAATGACGTCAGAATGACGTTATGTTCTGCCATTTTCGACCGAAAAAAGACCTTCGCGAGAAGAGCTGTCAGACCCACAGCTTTGGAGATACAGAAAAACGATCAAGACATAAAAGGTGTAGAATTGACAGGGCTACAAAACTGCTAACTCAGATTTTTGAAATTATTGAGTTTTGACCCCCAAAAATCAAAAAAGCAATTTTTTTATATATTAGCCAAAAAATCCAAAAAGTTTTTTGTTTCGAAAAACCGGAATAAATGTGATAGTAACTACCGTCCTCTATCTATATACCAAATTTCAGATCGATACCTCGTTTTTTGGCCAAGTTATAGCGAAAAAACTTCAAAAATGATGACGTCAAATTTTCAAACTCAATTTTTGGCAATTCTAGACTACGTAGGGCAAAACAAAGACCACCATTGGACTCCCCGTGATGAGCTGCATCGAATCGATACCCATTTTATGCAAAAATATCAACATTTGACCTAATATGACCTGACCTTGACCTGACCTTCACCAAAACGTGACCTTAGCTGGCCCCAAAGGCTGCCTGACCCACATAATCGCATTTGTCATGTAAAATGGACCATAAAACATGGATCACATGACACTTTCATATTGTGACCCCCCAGTGACCTGACCTCTGTGACCTGACCTGGTATCAGTGACCTCAGATAGCGAAGTATGTGTTTGACCAACAATGTACCATCGATGGTTTTCAATAACTTACCAATTTACTCGATTTCACAATACATTTCTTGAAATGCCTGTGAACAGTGAAAATCTGACCTTTGACCTGACCTGTGACGTCATCGGTTTGACCTAGGTCAATGAAATTTGGTCACAAGGTGGTTCACGGGTGGGGCTATCGAACGACGTTTGAATTTTGAAAATCGGCCGGTAAATTTCCGAGATTTTAGGGGGGGGGCGAAACGCCCCCCCCCCTACGGGTGGTAGCCGGTAGGGTCCGCCGGTAGCCCTACGGGGTGCGGGTTAACCCTCGCACATATGGGGGGGGGGGAGGGTCTAATGGATCCCTCTCGGTTTTTCGCGAATAACTCGCGCTAAAAGCGGCCGATCGCGACGAAACATTCGGTATGTACCCTCGAGTTGATCAATTTTACGCATACCCTGAAAAATTCATGACCCTGACCCAAATGACCTTTGACCTGTGACATTTCTCGGGACCATGTTCGACCGGAATCGCGGATAATATGAGCCGACATATATGTCGGCTCATATTATCCGCGCGTTTGCAGTCCTTTTGTGGTTGTAAACGCTTAAACATGTGAAATGATTTGGTCCCTTGCATTATGTTAGGTGTCAAGGTCACGTTAAGGTCAGGTCAGTTGACCCTTAAGCACCTGGATTTAATTTTTCAAGTTTTACATGTTTCCAGGCTAGTTTTGGAGCCGATTTCGAATTTAGTAACCATTCGAACATTTACGAAGAAGTTTTGTGTCACATGTTACAAAGCTGTCAGTGGTGGTTGACACCGTCAATGAATACCCAGCATGATGCCTACTGGTTGACCTGGCCTGACCTGACCTGACCTACCATCGGCTGCCTTTTGTGGTAAAAGCCAGGCAGCAAATGTACATGCAAGTGGTTTTTATTACGGAGCGAGCGAAGCGAGCCGAGTCTTTCCCATATAACAGAAAAATATCAGTATGAGCGGCCCGGCCCGGCCCGACCCGACCCGACCCGGCCTGTAACGTTTTTGAGAGGCTCATAAATCAGCAACCGCTGGACCGATTTGCTTGCGGTATTTTTTGTAGGGTAGCTTGATTCCTTCTACCAAGTATTGGACTATTTTCGCTGCATGTGGGACGTGGGTGACCCCTTATGCACGTGCCACGTGCAAAACGAAGAAGTGTCAGTTTGGTAACAATTGCAATATTTCGGTAGTTACTGGGCCAATTGCGCTGAAACTTTGCATGTAGGTAGGCAATGCATTTCCATGTCCCACAGTTGGGGTGCTGCTGCACGTGCGCACGTGCACAGGTCGATTCTAGATCTCAAGAACGGCTGGATCGATTGCGCTCAAATTTGGTAGCCGGTTAGGGACCGGATAGTAGGGTACTGTTCAAAAGTAAGTTGGGACCTCTCGCTCGCTCCGTTTGTCGCCCTATAAGACGTTTTACTGGTTGGTAAAATTAGGAATGAAAAATTGCTCTGGAATATTACTTTTCGCGAGAGTTTGAAGATGAATTAAAATATCAATTACCTTTTCTTGGAACAGAAGTTTGTCAGTGAAGCCATAATACATCATAATGCATCAGAAAAAAACTTGGTCATTTTACTCTACTTTGAAGTCAAATTGCCATCTTTCAGATTTATATGCATTTTTCCTTCAAAATTGCTTAATGCTAGCCCGCGCTAGGGTGGTGGTCCAACTATAGCTCATCAGGGTTGGGAAGGAGCAGCTTCTTGCTACGGCTCCTGTCTCCTGAGTCCTGGGACGAGGGAGAAAAGGCAATTTTCCAGAAGTTGCAAAAAAAAACATTTGAAGGGAACTTTTTTGATTTTTAGGTCAGGTCACTAGAGGTTTTCAAAGGTCGAATTTTCACGATTTTGACGTTTGTGGGCTACCTACATGTACTTTGATTTGATCCTGGTCGACTCCCAACGGCTTGGTCTTGGACAAAGCCGTCGAAATGCAACTACTTATATAGCTTGCAACTTTGTAGCTTGTATAAGAAGGTAAATAGTATGTAAAATTATACCCTTAGCATTTGCTGTGTCATAAGACTTCCACCTCTCCTGATGATGCGCCCTCGCTGTGAACTCGCCAGGGAACTACATCCTGAACTACCTGGCGACGCGGCCAAAGATGGAGCCTTTCGTGGTGCAGGCCATGGTGACGCTGTTCGGCAGGCTCACCAAGCTCGGCTGGTTCGACGCCACCAAGGACGACTTCGTCTTCCGCAACGTCATCGAGGACGTCTCCGTGTTCCTGCAGGTGAGGACTCGGGGAATGGATAATTTAATCAATGCCAGCGCCTAGTGAAATCGATGTCGGCGACGTACCTTAACGGAACGCAAAGAATCAAACAAACTATAAAGTTTGCATATCGATGAGACTGGTCGATTTTAGTTCATTGATCGACCAGCTAGGCGGTCGATGTGACCGCCTAGGCGGTCGATGTGACCGCCAGCATAAATCATTTGCCCGAAGTGCTGCTAAATGATTTATGCCGTAGTGTTTGCCAGTTCAGTGTGATACTGTGACTCGCTCAATGTTGCATTGACGTCACGTCGTTGGATTGACTTTCATTGTCTTTTGTTTTATAATATTAAACCTCGGATATGTGTTGCATTTTTAAAGATATTTTCAGAACATCCCCCGCGACTGAGAATGTTCTGAAGGCCGCATCACTGATGGTTAAGTCCTCGTTTACCAAGCTGGCTGCCACTAAGGTGCTGACTTTGTGCACACCGCACCTCTGAACATTTTCCAATGTTTTGCTCGCATTATTCACGCCACCCCAGCTGACACCTCTATCCTCCGTGCCGCAGGGCTCCGTGCAGCACTGCATGATCGGCGTCCAGCTGCTCTCCCAGCTGACGGTGGAGATGAACACGCTGACCGAGACGGACGCCATCCGCTCGCTCAACAGGCACCGCAAGACGGCCGCCTCGTTCCGCGACACCAGCCTCTACGAGGTGTTCCAGCTCAGCTGCACGCTGCTCCGCACCGCCCTCGAGAACTGCAAAAACCTCGACTTCAGCGACGAGTCGCAGGTGAGAAGACGGGGAGCTGTTTACGCACACTCCACTATTTGTGGGCATGCTTTTTACAAAATTATGTGCTGCAATCTTTCGTTCTTTTGTTGTTTTAGTGGTTTTGACTTTTATGCTTACGTTAAGGTTTACTCTTTCTGTATATTTTTATATTTCTCACCATGAGTCATGGCATCTCCGCTCACGGTCGTTGCGCTGGGAATCCTTTAATCTCCCGGCGCGGAATGTGAGATGACCATGGTTACGTCACCGCTCCTAGTCAGTGCCTCCGCGCGAGAGGTGACATCACTCCCCCCTCCCACATTGTCGGGGGTACGGCGTGATGCAAGGCTATCGGGTGATGGCGTATCGCCATATCCATCTCCGCGTCCGTCCACAGCCCGTGTCCACTTTCCATCTCTGTTTCACGATCCGGGTATATTACCTCATCTGCTCTCCGTAGATACGGCTCGTTTACCGTCGGTTATGAGTGGATCCTATTTGTGATTTGTTGTTACCCACCGTGTTCTGACTGGCGTCTCCTCTCCACAGCACGGTCTGATGACCCAGCTGCTGCGGCTCTCCCAGAACTGTCTTATGTTTGACTTCATCGGCACCTCGACCGACGAGTCGTCGGACGACCTGTGTACCGTGCAGATCCCCACCGCGTGGCGGCCCGCCTTCCTCGACGCCGCCACGCTCAAGCTGTTCTTTGACCTGTATGCCTCGCTGCCCTACTCCCTCTCCTCGCTGGTGAGTTTTGGTCGGGCGGGCTCGGCCGGGGAGGTCGGCTATAACGAGCGACGCCTATAATGTAATGCTATCATGTCGGAGAAAGGGGGAAAGGGCATGAATATCAACTGGTTGGAATGGCTTAGAGTATTTATGCAGCAAGATGCCTGAATGCTAATTTCACAGTTTTCAAAAACTAATGGGTAACTAATATCTCTCAATAAGGTCTTAGTTTGTTTTTGTACGGTAGGACATTGTGTAATTCGTGACTTAAACTGACGTATTGCTCTAAAAATGACATGGGCTATCATGGTACTTCGATGCTGCTTACGCGTGTCATTCCTGATCACTGCCCCTCTGACGTGTTGCAGGCGTTATCGTGTCTAGTGCAGATCGCCTCCGTTCGGCGGTCATTATTCAACAACCAGGAGCGGGCCAAGTTCCTCAACCACCTCGTACAGGGCGTCAAGAACGTGCTACAAAATCCCCAGGTACGGCGCACTGTCCGTCCCCCGGCCTGTGGATCGCCGGGAATGTGCGGCTGGACGGCCGGGTATTGATTTCCGCCTCCTGGAATGCTATGTCATCAGACGTAAACAGCTCTGACGTGATCGTCGCTCGTGACAGCACACCTACGATCAACGGACACTCAACTCAATTATTAACGACGAACAGGAGAACTAATGAAAGTGACATTAACGAACAGCTTTTACTGGATTTAACACGAAGGGTGATTCAATGGCTTATGGAACTGTGAAATGTACTATAACATGTAGCACTCATTCAATCACGGCAGTGGCCGAATAAGAGTACTTTTCTCGTTTTAACTATTGTATTCGACATTCCGCGCACTTTGGGCAGGGTTTGACTGACGCCAACAACTACCACGAGTTCTGCCGGCTGCTGGCGCGGCTCAAATCCAACTATCAGCTGGGCGAGCTGGTCATGGTCGACAACTACCCGGACGTCATACGGCTGGTGGCCAAGTTCACAGTGGAGAGCTTACAGGTGGGGCGGGCGTGACGGCAGAACCGCGGGGAACCGGGGGCTGTGGCCGCTGGGCGAGCAAAGTGAGAAAAGCACTGGGCTTTTTCTGATTCCAAAAAGTCTTCCTAAGGTGAGAAGAGTTCAGGTGATGTATCTGATAGAGCAAACGTTTGTCCGGGTTTTCTTGCTTTCTCGCTGACTGTCCGAGATGCGTTGCGAAGTACGAACTCACATTAATATCAGTAAGTGGACCCTGAATCAGCTCTTAGATCCCGCCCAGCATCATCACATTTCTACCAATCCTAAGTAACTAGCTGACCAGGGCGCTGTTCGATGGTGGTCCTATTGAAATTGATGCTCAGAATTCAGAACTGCTGGTTTCTCCCAGTGTGTACTCCGCCCCACCCGAGTATCCCCCGGCTGCCGTATGTTTTCTGACGACTGATCCTCTCCGCGTCGCCCTCAGATGTGGCAGTTTGCGCCAAACAGCGTCCACTACCTGCTGAGCCTGTGGCAGCGCATGGTGGCCTCGGTGCCGTACGTCAAGGCCTCGGAGCCGCACCTGCTGGAGACCTACACACCAGAGGTCACCAAGGCCTACATCACGTCCAGGCTCGAGGCCGCCGCCGTCGTCGTCAGGTGGGTGGTCACTCATGGTCGTGCTGTTTGCAGATCTGTCACTGGTCAGGGCTTCCTTGCTTGGGTTGAGGAATCGAGATGCTATGAAAGAAAGGGATGGTTGTTCAGTGGCCCGGGAAGGCAAGCACAGTTTTGCCAAGTTCTACTTGCTTGGTCTCATTTCGCCTGTCTTTGGATGTCAATTGGTTTGATACGACGTATGATATTACGATGCGTAAGATAAATAAGGATGACATTTAATCACATCGGACATGCATCTGCAAGAATATGGTTGTGTCGATGTCTGACGGTGCTGTCTCGTTCTCCGTGCAGGGACGGCCTGGAGGACCCGCTGGACGACCTGGGCATGGTGCAGCAGCAGCTGGACCAGATCAGCACCATCGCACGCTGCGAGTACAAGAAGACGTGCCGCCTGCTGGTCAGTCTGTTCGACGAGACGGCGCAGGCCTACCAGCAGGCGCTCAACGTCAACAACCGGCTGGAGAGTGCCATCAAGGAAGGTGGGTTGGGTCGGTGGGACTGCTGCATGCCTTCTGGCTGGGCTGTGGAGGCAGCCGTGATGTGCAGGCTTAGGTGACACGAGGAGGATGGGTGTGGTGCTCGTGATACTGGGAACTAGAGCTCTTCTAACTGAGTACGACCTGTTATTTCCTTGACTAAATGACGACTTGCGTAAGACGTTTGGTAACATAATGTGCCATCTTGACAATGCAATGTAAAATATATCCTAACTATAGTGGTAGACTGGTTGCAGTGTCTGTGACTGTGTGCACGCCGCTGAGACTGAGTTGTGTGCCGGCCGGTACCGGTCTCCGACTAACCGTCCGCCGTCTGTGTGTCTGTCTGTCTCTCCGCGCAGCTCAGCTAACCCGGCTGGTTTACATAATTGGCTCGGCGGTCGGCGGCCGGGTCAGTTTCAACACAAACGATGAGCACGACAGCATGGACGGAGAGCTCATCTGCAGGTGAGCCCCAGGGGAGAGCGGCTGACGACCGGCGATAAATGGTGTGCCGTGGTTTGCTGTGGTGGTAAAGATTGGGAAAGGCCGCTTTTAAAAGCACAAACTAGAGCTTTATACTGTGAATGCTGAGTACTCGTAGCTGCTGAAAAGAACTGTCACTAGCTAGGGCTTGTATGTGCCTTTTCGAAGATCGTTTATTTCACCTGTCCACGACATGTGAGGAAACGCAAGGCTTGTTTGAATTGCAATTATCTTGCTGGCGGCTAGCTCGCTGTCAGCTTATGCAGTGTTGACAGGGAGTCAAGCTGCTGCGACCACCTGCGCCGCCCCTCTGTAGACTTCCGCCCTCGACAGTCACACTGTCGCGTCTCCTCACTCCCCGCCCTCGCCCCGTACACTGACTGCCCGCGTATGCGCCGGCAGGGTACTCCAGCTCATGAACCTGACCGACTCGAGGCTGAACCAGGGTGGCTGCGAGAAACTCGAGCTGGCCACCATCAGCTTCTTCGAGCAGTTCAGGAAGATCTACGTCGGCGATCAGGTGCGGGGTGCCGTGTGGCATACTAACGGAAACGGGTGGGAGAAGGGGAGCGATGGGGAGGACGTAAAGGGAATGGATGTAAGGAGAGGATATCAATGCAAAATATAGTTATGATAAGTGGCATCATTATAGTGGCCCTGTGGCAGTGTAAATCGTTGAAAGATTTGTTAGATTGGTGTGGGTTCCTCAGGCGTTTACCAAGGTGTTTTGTTTGTGTTGTTTCAGGTACAAAAGACGGCCAAGGTGTATAGTCGTCTCTCCGAGGTTCTCGGTCTCAGTGATGAGGCCACAGTGCTTAGTGTTTTTATGCGTAAAATGTAAGTAGCTCTGAGGGGCCGTCCGAGCTCTGATATTAATCTTTTTATGTCAGCGCCAGTAGCGTCACTTCAGTCAATATGTATCTTGATTATTTTTTATTGCACTTCATGCTTCCATATTCTATATGAATTTCAACAGCTTGAATGGGAGTTTGAGTAACTGAAAGTTTGCTCTTATATTTTTTTTTTGCATCCATCGCAGTTGTTCCCGTTTGCTCTCGTCTAACACTCTACGCGTCTGTCGGCAGAATCACGAATCTGAAATTCTGGGGCGGCAGCGAGCAGATAACCACTCGCACTCTGATGCTGCTCAACGATCTGTCGGTGGGCTACAGCAGCGTGCGGAAGCTAGTCAAACTGGAGGAGGTGCAGTTCCTGCTCAACAACCACACGGTGAGTCAGCGAGCCAGCCGGTCAGACAGAGCGGCCTCTTCGGTACGGTTGTTATCGGGCGTATTTAGCCAAGCTAAATATAATCTTGGATTAAGTTGTTGCTTTGCCGGTCATTCATTGAGAGAATCCATGACGATAGAGAAGTAATCTGAGGCTGTTTATGTTTGTTGCTTACCCCACCTTTAATTTTTCCGTCTCCAATCGTACTTAAGATACATAAGTTGATTACCCGCCCAGCCATTCCCGTCTGCATCACCCCCTGCCTTTCGTCCCGCAGAGCGACCACTTTCCGTTCCTGGGCGCCGGCGTGGCGGTGAAGGAGATGAAGTGTCGCACCATGTTCTACACGTCGCTGGGCCGGCTGCTGATGGTCGAACTGGGTGAGGACGACGCCAAGTTCCAGGCGTTCATGGAGCCGCTGACGGCCGCCTTCGACGCCATCGGCGCGCTCATGGCCAGCGAGGCCAACATGTTCCAGGTGAGCACCGGGACCGGACCGGACCGGGAGAGTTGGGTCATTCATTGCCTGAAAGAGAAAGCGGCTATGTTTGGTGGCTGGGAGCAAGCCGGGAGGGCTTTGACTGTTAGCGAATGCCTGTATTGAAAAGCATTCGCATTCTACAAAAGGCATTCCAATTTCTACGATTGAATTCCACGTCTATTAGCTGTTCAGCTTAATTTTTAACGTGATTACAAATTAGACTGTTGAACTAATGCGATATTTGTCATTGCATTGGTAAAGCTCATGCTCCTATTGTTAAATCTGCATCATCTCGCTTACAAAACCAACCCCCCTCCTCGCGCCCCGCTGGCCGCCGGACAGGGTGAGGAGACCAAGAAGGCGCTGATCGGGCTGGCGCGCGACCTGCGCGGCCTCGTGTTCGCCTTCAACACCAAGGCGTCCTACATGATGCTGTTCGACTGGATCTACCCGGCGTACACGCCGATCCTTCAGCGCGCCGTGGAGCTGTGGTTCACCGAGCCGCAGCTGACCACGCCCGTGCTGAAGCTGTTCGCCGAGCTGGTGCAGAACCGGTCACAGCGACTGCAGTTCGACGTCAGCTCACCCAACGGCATCCTGCTCTTCCGCGAGATGAGCAAGCTGCTCTGCACGTACGGTGAGTGATGATAATGAAGTATGATTACAGTTACAAAGAAAAAAACGACAAAACCCACGTCTTACAGTACAATGTCGGTGAATCAATTGATGATAGCGTTTGACGGGCAATGCCTCAGACTATTTACATTGCTCGACTGACGGGCCTTTCGCCGTTGCTCTCGTGTGCTCCCGTCCCACTGGTCATTGTGGCACCTAGTTGTGACCCCGCCTCACTGACCGCTGTGGCTCCGTCTACCCCGCCCCCACTGACCGCTGTGGCGCCCTGCCCGTATCTCTCCCTTCTACAGGCGAGCGGATACTGACAATTCCCGACCTCTCCAAGGACCAAGTGTACCCGATGCGGCTCAAGGGCATCTGCATCTGCTTCTCGATGCTCAAGTCGGCGTTGTGCGGCAACTACGTCAACTTCGGCGGGTTCCGGTTGTACGGTGACGAGACGCTGGACAACGCGCTGCGGACGTTTGTCAAGCTGCTCCTCTCTGTGCCACACAGTGATCTCCTGGTGAGCAGCAAACATGGGAGCGCATGGGCTGGGGACGGGGAGCGGGCGGGGCGAGGGACGGATAGATGGATAGGCGCGGGAGGCTCGAGTTACGGAAAAGGTGACGCTATTTTGGTGTATGGTGGGCTTTACATCGTTGAACTTTTGCGTAAGTTATTGCATCTACAAAAGATGCGAGTAGCGAGGATGAATTATTTTCTCGCCAAAGCGCCATCTACAGACAACTGTCTTCTTGTACTCGCCGTAATTCTAAGACTGTGTCACCACGCCTGGCGAAAGGCACGGTTCTGATGGTGATTTCTCCTTCTCCGTCTGTTACAGGACTACCCGAAGCTGTCTCAGTCCTACTACGTGCTGCTCGAGTGTCTGTGTCAGGACCACATGGCGTTCCTCTCGTCGCTGGAGCCGCAGGTGTTCCTCTACATTTTCGCCTCGATCTCAGAAGGACTGCAGGCGTTAGGTGGGAATCTGAACTATTTCACAGGTACAGGAACGGCGCACGGAGGGGCGGCTGGACGGGCGGCCCGACGCCCGGGCGCCGGCTCGGAGGCCGCGCCGGGCGCCGCCAAAGTACCCACTTCCACTCTGCCCTTCTCGAGACTCGGCGCTGACTCCTCTCTCTGTCGCTATCACACTCTTTCCGCTCTTTCCTTCCTGGTGGTGGCTGTCGGGCTTGCAGATGCTAGTTAAGTTTTGCCACTGACGTTTACAGAACGCTCTGCCGTTTACACGCGCTTGTTTTTCCACGCAACACAAACTTTTCGTTTTTTGTTTGTTTGTTTGTTGACGTCAATGACTGTTGAAAAAACAGTTGTTGTTTGGTGTCTTAGCGCCTTTGCTCTCGCGCTGTGTGGATTACTGCATTTAAAATGGTACCTACGTATATGTAATACGTTTGACCAGTGATTTTAGCTTTACGGTTGGAGCATGGCTAACGCACTGCTAACGAATCAGTTAACGAACCGGACGAACCAGTCGAATCAGCTCGAGATCGAATCGCTCCCGATATGAGATCGCTCTACTGAGGCGAAAACGTTCTTTTCATTTTGTATTGTTATATTTTTATGAACTTCCTGTTGAATGAGTACATGCTTTTTTGGTACGTATCGCGATGATTTTTGTTTATTTGTAGGCATCTACATATTTACCGATATTTTTTGTCCATGAGCTGATGGCTACGTTATGCCACTTAAGTCTTTCGACAAACAACATCGACATCCACCAAAGTATCGGCAAGCCAGAAAGTCCTCACTCGTCACCAATATCCACATCTGTTTCATCCCTCTGGCCACCCTTCCTCGCGACTTTCCCTCTCCGGATCCCGTCAGAGCGTCGCTGTCTCCTCTGCTGGTCCCCGCCACCCGGCTTCTGATGCCGGCGGCGCCTGTGCCTCTCTGTGTCGGCGGTAGCCCGGTGCCGGTCTCGAGCCGTCCGCCGCGGGGTCCGGCCGGCCGTCCGCCGCCCCCGCCCCGCCCAGGCGGGCATGCACGACGCACGCACGTTCGTCCGTGTGCAGTAGGGCGCACCCCGGGCCGCCTGGGCCGACCGCCGCATGGCCGTCTGACGGGCCGACTGCCCGATTGACCCTTCATGCTTCTCTGCTGAGCGTGTTGTGTGTATGAAGTGTAAGCAGGCGCACACTTTGCAGGGTTGTGCGTAGTATGTGTGCTTTATTTGTCAGGACGTACTTCCGATGCTCGCATGTATGACAGTGTGTGAATCGACTTGCACCCGCTTATTCTTAAACCCGTTTGCTCAGCTTGCATAGACGAGCAATGCACATTTGGCCTTGCCTTTATCCCTACCTGCTTTGCACTCATTTAACGTATGTTCATCTATAAACAGAGTAGCTTTAGCGAACTTCAGTGGAGGCAAGAACGGCATGGGATTGAAGTAGCAGTCTCGAGTTTGCTCCGTTCCAGCATTTTCGAAGACATCAATCGTACTTTCTTTTCTGTTCACTTTTTCATAGATTTAAAGATGTAGGTGGATTTCATTGAGTAATGCCTTCGTTTCGCTGTGTTTTCTCGCTTTTGGTCCTCGCATTTGGCCTTGATGGTCATTTTACGTTCCGACGGTGTTGCTCTTACCTCAGACTGCTGACAAAGTGCTCTCTGACAAAGTTCAGCTCGACTGTCCCAGTTGTGATGCTGTGCGGGGAGAGGATTGTGCCAGTGTCAAGGTTTGTGTCTGTCTGTGTGTGTGTGTGCGAGGTGGGTCGGAGAGCACCAAGCGGTGCCTACGCCTGTCTCTGTCTGCGCCTCTGTGTTTTGGAGTGCAGGGGAGGGCCGTGCGGTGCCGGTGGCTGCCTGCCGGTGCCTTGGGTCGATATATACCTATCCTCGTCTGTCTGTCGTTGCCGCTGTGTCTGTGTGCACGGATGGCCGGGCGGTGCCGGTGGCTGCCTGGCGGTGCTGCGCGCTCTGTCCCCAGATACCAGTCAGCGGCCCGGCCGGCTCACTAAGCTGGGAAAGGTGGGACCGGTGCTCGGTAAGCCCTCTCCCGCCCCCGTCTCCTCCCCTACCCCCGGGCAGAGAGCCGCGCCGCCCGCATGCCGCGGCCTCTGTTAGAGTGTGAGCTCTGCCCCTCGTGCTGTGAGCACATACACTACGCTGTTCACTAACGGATTGGTGGATTAGTGTAGAAGGTTCGATGCTCGGCCGACAGTGGCTGTAGTGGACAATGGCTGAGATAGAGCTGATTCGCGGCAGGTGTTTTATAATGTCATGGTTTGGTGTAGTTTAGTGCTAACTAGATCTTGTGACTGCCAGGCCTTTGCCCAGTGCCCACCTTTGCATCTTGAGGGACAGATGTCCGTTGGATTGCTATAGTTGAATATGGGAAGTCCTGTAACCGCATTTGGTTAACCACATTTTATAATTGGACGCCTCGCACTTGGACTGTGCGATGGGCAATGGGATTATCGAACCACAGTCTTGGTCCATGTTTGGCATTAAATAGAGCAGGAGGCTTTATGGGTGCCACGCTGACTTCCGTACAGTGGAGTGGGCCGTCCTCTCCTGTACCGGAATAGGGGAGGGGGAGGGGCTCTGTTGACATCGACTCTGCGGACTATGGGACGCGGCTCAATATGAGGGGTTTGCAACGGCTGCGGATGGCCCGTGCTGTGAACGTTTGCAGCGGCAGAAAATCTGCTCTGGTGTGTTGTGTTCACTCATCGGGACACCCACACTCCCATTCTATTAATAACGTGATACTTTTGTCGCCCATAACCACTATTACAAAGTGTGGTAGATGCACTGCTTGTATGTTGTAACCTCTGACTCCGGTGTGTTTCCTGTGTCTACCTGTAGCCGCTGTTTACAAGCTGTGCTTGCTGTAGATGTGCGTGTAAGTGAAAAAGTGTTGTGTGCAACGTGCATGGCTGCTCGGATCTGAAAGCTGCTTGGTGTTTGTGGCTTGCATCTCATGTGGAGCCATGTAGTCACGTATAACGTGAACTGTGGTATGCTGGGACTACTTTTCGAATGTTGTCTGCCATCTTGATCTTACATCTATGACCTCCGTGGAAGATAACGTTCAGCTTACACTATGGTAGCAATGAATCCGATAAATTTTGCGTACTATGTAGCCAATATGTTAAATTCGTGAAACATGCCACAGGACATTAGGCTTTGGTTGTTTGGCATCTAGAGAACAGACCCGAGCGAAATGATTGTTTTACGTGCTATCGATTTCTGAATGCCATGCTTTGATTTCATGTCATGTTTTTTTTTACGTCACGTGTTCTGAAATGTACTCTGTTCACCCTTGCGGTTGCAAACTAAAGAAAGGCCATCGAAATAGCTCTCTATTATGAATACCCCATCAGCCAGAGGCGGTGCCACCATGAATAGATGTTCTGAACCGTGGGATGCCGGCTGTTGAAAGGTCATGTGTTACGCGTTTCTGGTTATTATTACCGTTGATTGCGTAGCGGTGCAATGTGTTGTAATGCTGTCAGCACAAAGAGTGTGATCCAGTCCAGTACGTCAAGCGTCTTTGCTCTGTATTCGTATGTGATGTCCTCAATATTTGCCTTGGTTGGTCCGCGTCTGGGCTGTGCATTGTCGTCGGTGCCCTCGGACCGTCTCCAGTAAGCCTGTGTTGCCCGTCAGCGGCCCCGTTTCTGATGTGTGATGTGTACTTTCCGCAGACACCATGGTGTGTACCGGCTGCTGCGCCACACTCGACCACATCGTCACATTCACATTCAAACAGCTCGCGCAAAAAGGTGAGTTCGACGACTCGGCGGCTAGTTCATGGTCTCGGCTGCCGGCGTCGTCGCTGGTGGTAGCTGGCAGTTTTATGTGCTGCCAAGCAGCGGCGCTAAGAAGGCAGCCGAATTTACAATCAGACGTGGGTCATCTCTAACCTCGTCATATGAAAATGTGTTGGAAGTGATTAAGCAAATGTTCTTCATCAGCACGATTCGCGCTAATTTTAGGCGTGTCCCTCCGCGGTGATGCTGGTCTCTTGAGTGGCGGCTGCCCGTCTGAGCGTTACGGCGGATTTAAATACGGCCTGACGGTAACGCCACGTAATTCGCGTGCTAACGAGTCCGGTCGGCTGAGCAGGAAATGACCGGGCCGCCGCCCTCCATCAATGCGCCGTCGATCGGGCCGCCCGGCGCGCCGCCATTTCCTCCGTGTGCCGATGGCGGCCAGTGAGGGCGCCGTTCATCTGTCCCGCTGACCTGGGCCGTGTCAGCTGCGGGAGGGTTGGGCGTGTCGATTTCCAAAGAGCTCTAACTGACGGTCGGCGGCGGCCTCAAATAGCGAGTAATTCTCGGGCTCGATCTCCTGTTCTGTCTAATTACTCAGTCTTAGCCAGTGCCTTTTATTTCACCAGCTCCATATCCGTCTCATATTTCGCGTCCACTATGTCTCTAACCGCCTCATTCTCGGCGCGTATATTCCTAACTCGCCCCGCGACTCCCCCAGGCAAGAAGAAGCCGGCGCACAACCCGTCTGGAGAGGCGATCCTGCAGATCCTGGAGCGGCAACCGGAGATCCTACAGCAGCTGCTGGCCACCGTGCTCAACATCATCATGTACGAGGACTGCCGCAACCAGTGGTCCATGTCGCGGCCACTGCTCGGCCTCATCCTGCTCAACGCCGAGTACTTTGGCGGCCTGCGCGAACAGATGGTGCTCAGCCACCCGCCGGAGCGGCAGCCGGCCATCCGGGCGGCGTTCGACTCACTCATGGACGGCATCGAGAGCAACCTGCTCACCAAGAACCGGGACAGGTGAGACAGCACTCTGCTTACCAAGAACCGGGGCAGGTAAGTTAGAGGGACGGCAACCTGTTCACCAAGAACCGGGACAGGTGAGATAGAGGGACGCCTGCTCACCAAAAACTGAGACAGGTGAGAGGAAGGGTAACCTGCTCACCAAGAACCGGGGCAGGTGAGTTGAGAGGGACAGCAACCTGCTCACCAAGAACCGGGACAGGTGAGAGACAGCACCCTACTCACCAAGAACCGGGACAGGTGAGATAGAGGGACGCCTGCTCACCAAAAACTGAGACAGGTGAGAGGAACGGTAACCTGCTCACCAAGAACCGGGGCAGGTGAGTTGAGAGGGACAGCAACCTGCTCACCAAGAACTGTGCCAGGTGAGATAGAGGGACGCCTGCTCACCAAAAACTGAGACAGGTGAGAGGAACGGTAACCTGCTCACCAAGAATCGGGGCAGGTGAGTTGAGAGGGACAGCAGCCTGCTCACCAAGAACTGTGCCAGGTGAGATAGAGGGACGCCTGCTCACCAAAAACTGAGACAGGTGAGAGGAACGGTAACCTGCTCACCAAGAACCGGGGCAGGTGAGTTGAGAGGGAAAGCAACCTGCTCACCAAGAACTGTGCCATGTGATATAGAGGGACGCCTGCTCACCAAAAACTGAGACAGGTGAGAGGAACGGTAACCTGCTCACCAAGAACCGGGGCAGGTGAGTTGAGAGGGACAGCAACCTGCTCACCAAGAACTGTGCCAGGTGAGGGACACTTGAGAGGGACGGGGAGGACGGCGCCAAAGGGTGCGGTGAGGCTGGTCAGCTCTGGTTGTGTTGAAGCCATTGTCTTTTGGTCCTGGATAATGCATTCATTGTTGAATCTGTGTTGTTCTTGCATTAGTCGTGTTAGTGACATAGTACCGTGTCCTGACCGCGCTCCCTGTCTGTGTGCTGCAGGTTTACTCAGAACCTGACCACGTTCCGGCGAGACGTGAACGACCCCTCCAAGAACCCGGGCGGTGGCGGCGGCGGCGGCGGCGGCGGCGGCGGTCAGGACGCGGCCATGATGACGTAGCGCCGCCGGTCGTGCTCGGCGGAGGCACGCCGGCGCGCGCCACCCCCTCAGAGGCTGACCATGTCTTTCCAGGCGGAGCGCGCCGCCCGCCCGCCGCTCGCCGCCCGATACCTGTGGCTGCCGCACTAGCGGCGTCCAGAGGCGGGCGCGCGCGTGCTGCATTTGTACCGAGCTCCCGGACCGGGCCGGGCCGGGCCGCGGGGCAGGCCGGCCGGCCGGTCTGTCGCTGCCCCACTGATGGTGAATTGATCGTCTCAGAGTATAAATACATGTCATGTGTCTTAGAGACTGCGCGTGTTGGCTGGTGCCATTGAGTGACGACTGTTGAGGGACGTGTTGAAGAGTTCATACTTTCAAGCTTAAGCGTTGTTAGTCACTTGTTACATGTTCACAAAAGCATTATAGCACAATGCATAGACTGCTTCGTAATGGGGCTGGTAAAGTCCTTCCCGTAGATCGTCGGGAAGTTAAAATCCTAACCGGAAACCTTACCCTTTTCTACCAGGGCTCGACAATATCGCGCTCCTTGCGAGGGGATCGAACCAGGGCCCAGTTTCACCAAGCTCTGTTTGGGGTAGTTTCGGCGAAACTACCCCAAACCAGTTTCACCAAATGGGGTAGGTTCTGATTGGCCACTTCCAAACTACCCCATGGGGCAGTTCTTATTTTACCCCAAATTTGCCATGCAAACAGATGCTCACGGTCCGTGAGCATCTGAACAAGCCAATCAATCAGCTGTTTGCCGGCAATTCTACCCCAAATATCCGACCAAAATTACGGCTGACATTCGTGGGGTAATCTGTGAATATGATACGAATTGTGAGCAATAATTGACAGTAAAATAGTAATAAGAACATATTTTATTGAAGTCCAATCACCTGTCATGTTTGAGTATGCATTATTCATAGCATAGGTACTTCAAGTTTCATCCAAATATTTTACTGCATGTAGCCTGCACCACCTATGCTTGTGATCTGCATTGCAACACCCAAAAGAAGCATTATAGATGTCGCCCATAGCTGAATGCCAGGATTTTTACTTTTTTAACTATTAAAGGGACCCTCCCACCTTCAAAAAAGTTAATGAATTGGCATAAAAGTGATGTAGCGTGAATCACAAAGAGCGAAAATGAACATCTACCAAATTTTACCGGAAAATATTCACCCGTTTTCGAGATATAAGACTTTTATTTTTGTTTACTTTTTGGGAACTCCGCTGCTTCTATGACGTCACATAAAGGTTTTCTTTACGTCGGCATTTGGAAGCAATAGTTTGGTATCAAAGTGCGACAAATATTGCGCGAATGATGCGTTTATCTTATGAAGGTCAATATATGATGGCGGGTGAGACTAAATGCTTACCTCGAAATCTAAGCTACGTTGCGGCATTGGTGGTTATGTGCGGCGTGTATGCCGCATGATTAGTAAGCGGCGACCACTAAATTAAAGACTCAAACGCTCCGACCGGTTTTCAGTGAATATCACTGCATACCAAAAATGCCAATCGCTCTTGTCATAAGATATTTAGATTTAAATAACTAAGTTATCTACATCATCATTTTGAGCCAAATTAATACTTTCAACTTAAAGGGACCCTCCCACCTTAACATTAGTTTTGAGTTGAGATAGCCAAGTTTGCGGCCAGGCTCAGAAACCACCATTTATCCTGGTCGCAACCCCCGCAGCTTTATGGTGTTCAAGAAATTTCTTCCCTTTACTTGCAGGGTGGGACCAGCGTGGTCCCTATCTCTTAACCATTACGGGAATCTGATGACGTCATCAGGCTTTCGAACGTCCGTCATTAAGTTTGACTAAAACGTTTTGTAGCACGCGGTGGTATATGCTGCTTTGCGCGCAACAAATGCCGCACTTTCAAATAAAGTCGCTAGGAACAGCGGAGATCCCAAAAAGTAAACAAAAGTAAAAGTCTAATATCTTGAAAACCGGTGAATATTTTTCGATGAAATTTGGTAGATATTCGTTTTGCTCTTTCTGAACCGAGCCGACATCACTTTCATGCCAATTCATTAACTTTTTTGAAGGTGGGAGGGTCCCTTTAACTCACTCATTCCTTCCTTAATTCCTTTGTTGGCTCCAAACAGTCTTTCGATTGTCTGGAAATCGTATGCTAAATCCCGTACCTGTATGCGACTGGTGCATATAAAGGCCGATGTAAGAATTTGAATAGGCTGTCGCATGCGATTTCCTGGCTACCCAAAAAAGTCTGTTTCAGTCATGCTATCAAAACGTGATCAAAACATGGTATGTCAGCCCGGTCACGGCTTATGGTGCTCTGCTTGTAGTGCCCCTGACCGTCACCGACTCTGTTCCCTCCTGAACCCTCGCCCGTATTGGTGTTTTTCCAGCCGCGAACGTATAAAGGGGGGGGGGGGGTCCGTTGGACCTCTCCTTGCCGTTTGGCTCCTGATCGAGCTAGCAGAAAAAAAAACGAGCGTGTTGCCCGTGACGAAAGGAAGCCGATGGTACCCAATTGTTAACCCTCGCCGGCACAGCCCATTTTGCGTCCGTCGACGGCACAAGGGGGTTGGTGGTACGACCCCCCCCCCCATTGCCGTTTGGCCCCTGATCGAGCTAGAGCTTCGCGGAAAAAAACGAGCGTGTTGCCCGTCACGAGAGGAAGCCGATGATATTCAATTTTAAGGTCCTAGGTCATCGGGTGACCTTCCAGGTCAGGTCAATGACCCGAAAATCGGGAAAATCGAGACCTGTTAGAAAGTCGTAAAGTGTGGCTGCCATGGGGTTTTCCGGGGTGCTGATCACGAATATCGTGTTAGTTTTGATCAGAGATGATGTCTGTAAGCATTTAGACCAGGTCGGGTCAGGTCAGGTCAGGTCAACCGGTAGGGGTCGTGACGGGTATTCGTAATAGGTACGTGTCAACCGCTTCTGCAGCTTCGTAACATGCTACGAATGCACCAAAACCACTTCGTAAATGTTCAAATGGTTGCTAAATTCGAATTCAGCTCTAATGACTAGCCTAGAAACATGTAAAACTCGAAAAAGTGAACCTAGGTCACCAAAGGTCAATGACCTGACCTGACCTTCAGGTGACCTTGACATCCACCCTAATGCATGGGAGCAACATCAAATCACATGTTTGAACGTTTGAAACCACGAAAAGCTTGCAAATGCGCGGCTAATGCGAGCCGACATACGCCGAATCGCGATTCCGGCCAAACATGGTCTCAGAAAGTAGGTCACAGGTCAAAGGTCATTTGGGTCAGGGTCATGAAAATTTCAGGGTGGGTGTAAAATTGATCAGTGGCGGATCCAGGGGGGGGGGGGGGCAAAATGGGCATTTGCCCATCCCAAACGGCATAATTTTAACATTACGCCTATGGACGAGGCATGGAAAGAATCAATAATTTGTTATGGTTTCCCCCCCCCCCCAAAAAATACTCCGAGCTGGATCCGCCTCTGAAATTGATCAATGCGAGGGTACTGAAAGTTTCGTCGTGATCGGCCACTTTTTACGCGAGTTATTCGCGAAAAACCTTAGGGGGGTTGCATCACCCCCCCCCTGTGCCGGCGAGGGTTAAGTTGAAACTATTAATTTGGTTCAAAACGATGATGTAGATAACCTACTTATTTAAAGCTAAATATCTTATGACGAGAGCGATTGGCATTTTTGGTATGCAGTGTTATTCATTGAAAACCGGTCGGAGCGTTGAGTCTTTAATTTAGTAGTCGCCGCTTACTAATCATGCGGCATACACGCCGCACATAACCGCCAATGCTGCAACGCGGGCATATTTACGTCTGGACAGCGAGTTGCGTTGGAGAGGCCGGAAATAGTGGCGATTTCAGGACCGCAATAATGGACCGTCATTGGAATGATTCTTTTTTTAAAACGTGCCTTGTTTTTAGCCGAAATTTAGTTCTTACTACAAAATATTTTGTAATTAGGTTTTGGCCGAGAATGAATACCATCAGGGCTAAGTTTTTACTATCATTGTATTTTGTCCAGAAGCATATAGTGATGTTTTATTGCAGTTTTTGCGCGTTTGTTACAAAATATGAAGCAAACCTGCAGAAAAGTTCCGAGGTAACGTTGATGTATATCGCAAAATATCATATTGACCTCAAGTTCATCCGTTCCTTCCATGATTGACTAGACAGATTTACACATTTCAATTTTATCTTGGATCAGAGGTGTCCGTGTGATCAGTGCCAACTGCCAGAGGTTAACTTGAAGGGAAGCTTGAGCTATGACAATTGCTCTTGTCCATGTCTCTCCACTAAGAAGAAGTTATTAAATATTTTGCTTTGTGTATTCCAAGAGGAGAGAAGTGGGAACTATTTTCTTTGTGCCTTCATGTCGAATCGAAGATGGATCATTAAATTTTCAAGGCGTTGATCAACCAAGCATTTAGTCTTTCTCGTACATAAGCAGTGGCCAAGAAGAAAAAGTTAATCATACCTGAAGTTCAGTCATCTTACTTCAACTTAAACTTTGCAGCAAGATCCCCAAGGACAGAGGATATATTGTATACCCATCCTGTAAATCAAAGCATTTTTGTGCCTGCAAAGGCTTAAGTTATTTGTTGTGTGCTCGGAGTGAGGCTATGGGCGTTTTGTTGTATGTTTATGTGGAGATTGAATATAACTGTGACCCTGTGATTGTTTGTATATTTACTACAGTCAAACAGCATATCCAAATAACATACTCACCTAGCTCATAGCTGTACCCCACAGGATTTGTACTTATTGATATTTCGAGCATGAACAAAGCACCAAACTAGCTTAGTATACCCACATTTTTCTGAGCATCTAACATGTCATACAGGCAGTGCAGAGCAGCTTCAGAGAAGAAACACTTAAAATCGGCACAGACTCACACCAGCCACCCAATGAGCCAGTTCCTCATTTGGCTGTTACCCTGGACGTGGTTTGGCAAGGTGAGCTAACTGTTGTCAAGGTGAAGGTTAGCAGGTAAGATTGAGTTAGGGTGAGTAACAAGTACCTATGCTAATGCTATGCAGGTCTTGGGTAAGTTGCAAATAAGTGTGATGGTTGAGGTTAGGTGAGGTTAGTCAGGTATGAATTGATCAGGTCACATTTTTTATGGACACTTGGCAAATTAAAAAAAAACTAACATGACCTAATCTTAGCTAACCCAACTAAACCTACATAACTACTTAAGTATAGGTACTGAGCACCTACCCACTTGTGCCTACATCTCATACCAAGTCAAAATAAAGTTCCTTTCTGGAAGATTACCCTCAGTACTTTTTATCCCAGCCTGAGCCCTGTGAAGAAAACTAAT